CTGCACTGTTGTCTGCAGTGATCACTCAACCATGTCACGCAAACCTCTGCCCCCTGTGGTAACAATGGACTCTCCTGCGTGCCTGACTGGTCACACACTGCCACATTGATTGATAATTCAGAAGTTGAATTGAGTGTTGTGAATCACTCGGCTCCGATGCTCTTTATCCTTAGGCAAATAGTATTTGTGTGCACAATCGTTAATGTCACTATTTTCTACTTGGCCATAGGTAGCATGTTGGAATCGACTTCAATCAATGCAGCACCTCCTATGTCGGCAGAACACAGGTCCTGGGACAGGAGAGGGGACAGGACAGGGGACAGAACACCGGGGACAGAACACAGGGGACAGAACACAGGGGACAGAACACAGGGGACAGAACACAGGGGACAGAACACAGGGGACAGAACACCGGGTACAGAACACGGGGGACAGAACACCGGGTACAGAACACGGGGGACAGAACACAGGGGACAGAACACAGGGTACAGAACAGGGGGGACAGAACACCGGGTACAGAACACGGGGGACAGAACACCGGGTACAGAACACCGGGGACAGAACACAGGGGACAGAACACCGGGTACAGAAAACGGCGGACAGAACACGGGGGACAGAACACTGGGGACAGAACACGGGGGACAGAACAAGGGGGACAGAACACAGGGTACAGAACACGGGGGACAGAACACGGGGTACAGAACACGGGGGACAGAACACGGGGGACAGAACACGGGGGACAGAACACCGGGTACAGAAAACGGGGGACAGAACACGGGGGACAGAACACCGGGGGACAGAACACGGGGGACAGAACACAGGGGACAGAACACGGGGGACAGAACACGGGGGACAGAACACGGGGGACAGAACACAGGGTACAGAACACGGGGGACAGAACACCTTGACCGGGTCAAATTCAGGTCATCCACTTGAATTGAGGAACAGCAAATAATTCTAATTCTTTGGTTGCCGCATGGGGAGAAGAATGGAATATGAGCAGAGAAAATTAAGATGAATAAATATTGACTTTATAATGAGCAAGCTGGCAACCAATGGTGGGGGCAGTGGAGGCACTCCTGTTGTATGTGAAGCACTGCCCTGCTAACACATGTTTTCACAACGTTGTGGTTGGGTTGTGGATGGGTAATTTTATGATGTAATGTTTTCACAACTGTGGTTGGGTTGTGGATGGTTAACGTTGTTATATAACGTTTTCACAATGTTAGAATTCCGTCGCTGGGTAGCGTCACAACGTAATGACAACATTGCCCAGTTACATTGTAAAACCATTGTGCATCGGACACCACTCATTGTTGTTGTAACAACGTTATAGAGACATTGTTGTTGTAACTACATTATAGAGACATTGTTGTTGTAACTATGTTATAGAAACATTGTTGTTATAAATACATTATAGAGACATTGTTGTTGTAACTACATTGTAGAGACATGTTATTGTAAATACATTATAGAGACATTGTTGTTGTAACTATATTATATAAACATTGTTGTTGTAACTACATTATAGAAACATTGTTGTTGTAACTACATTGTAGAGACATTGTTGTTGTAACTTCATTATAGAAACATTGTTGTTGTAACTACATTATAGAAACATTGTTGTTGTAACTACATTATAGAGACATTGTTGTAACTACATTATAGAAACATTGTTGTTGTAACTACATTATAGAGACATTGTTGTTGTAACTACATTATAGAGACATTGTTTTGACGTCATACAGTCTGCTTCATAATAGTCATAAGAATGGGACTGGTTCATCCAAAACCTGGCAGTAATGTATAACTTTCCTATAGAGTCGACAGTAAGATTTTCGTCCCAATATACTCAAGTAATTTACTAGCTCTCTCTCCATGACAATGTTAGTATTTCACTGTGTAACATTATTTCACAACATAATAACAACTTTGCAAAGCTACGTTGTAAGAAAGTTGTGAATTAGACTTCACACAAAGTTTTTTAAAACTCAGGAAAAAAGATCGTAACAACTCATAATTTTGATTTCATATATATATGAACAAGTTCTTCTGTAGGCAAAATGTAATTTGAAAATAAAGTTGACATGAGTAAGATTAACTCCACATGATTTGTCAGTAGGTGTGTGCAGATAGGGTCACATGCAGGTATAGTCATACATTTGGGCACACATTTTTATGCGGGCCTGAGACTGGCTGATGTGAACATCTTTCAAGAGTGCCCACTGCCAGTGAGTGCACCACGTGGCTACAAAGGTGCTGATAAATCACAATGCATCGAAGAATGTCTTTTTCCACCGACCATACGCCAGCAACAGATATTTTACTCCCATTTCCTAAGGTTCTTGCAAAGTATGTTTGAAACATAAAAAGTTTATTTTTTCGGTTTATATGTGCAGATAAAACACGTCAGAGCACACAATTACACATAATACCAAGGTCATACCAGCACACGATTACACATAATACCAACATCATACCAGCACATGATTACACATGATACCAAGGTCATACCAGCACACGATTAAAAATAATACCAAGGTCATACCAGCACACGATTACACATAATACCAACATCATACCAGCACATGATTACACATAATACCAACGTCATACCAGCTCATGATTACACATTATACCAACATCATACCAGCTCATGATTACACATAATACCAACATCATACCAGCTCATGATTACACATTATACCAACATCATACCAGCTCATGATTACACATACTACCAACATCATACCAGCTCATGATTACACATAATACCAACATCATACCAGCTCATGATTACACATTATACCAACATCATACCAGCACATGATTACACATTATACCAAGGTCATACCAGCACACGATTACACATAATACCAACGTCATACCAGCTCATGATTACACATTATACCAACATCATACCAGCTCATGATTACACATTATACCAACATCATACCAGCTCATGATTACACATAATACCAACATCATACCAGCCTATGATTACACATAATACCAACGTCATACCAGCTCATGATTACACATTATACCAACATCATACCAGCTCACGATTACACATTATACCAACATCAAAAAAGCACATGATTACACATAATACCAATGTCATACCAGCTCATGATTACACATAATACCAACATCATACCAGCTCATGATTACACATAATACCAACGTCATACCAGCACATGATTACACATAATTCCATATTACCAGCACACGATTACACATAATACCAAGGTCATACCAGAACATGATTACACATTATACCAAGGTCATACCAGCACACGATTACACATAATAGCAAGGTCATACCAGAACATGATTACACATTATACCAAGGTCATACCAGCACATGATTACACATAATACCAAGGTCATACCAGCACATGATTACACCAAGTACAAAAGGATCCATGTACAAACTTGCCACAAGAAAATTCATTGAACTGAAATCACATCTGTGGAGCAAAACTATGAATCTCCTACTTCCTGACCCCCTTCGAGACCCCCTTCCTGACCCCCGTCCCGGAGCATGCATGTGCTGTGCTGGCTACTCACAGTGTCCCACCACGCACGGGGCTCAGGAGTCTCTGTGATGCACACTCCTGCACATTCTCCCGTCGACTCACTGCACACTCCCCACGACGTCCTCACTAGCTGACTGTGCCAGGTGCATTTCAGATTGCTATTCCGGGATTTCAACGCCTCAGAGTTGTTTTTTTCAAAGTTTGGCAAAGTGCAGCTATGTGAGGAATACCTCCATGTGATGGGTGAAATGATACGTCTACTGACATTGGGGCCTTGATGTAATTGTGGTGTGAGGGGGATGGGGACGTAGGTGTGGGGTGATGGCTGAGATGTGGCGTGCTAGAGGGAGGTGGATTGTCGGGAACTAATAGGGACAGGAGTGGGTCTGGATGGGTGTTGTGGGAGGGGGGTATGTGTGTTATGGGGAGGGGGTATGTGTGTTATGGGCAGGGGGTATGTGTGTTATAGGGAGGTGGTATGTGTGTTATGGGGAGAGGGGTATGTGGAGGGGGGTATGTGTGTAATGGGGAGAGGGGTATGTGTATAATGGGGAGAGGGGTATGTGTGTTATGGGGAGGAGGTATGTGTGTTATGGGGCGGGGGTACGTGTGTTAAGGGAAGGAGGTATGTGTGTTATGGGAAGGGGGGTATGTGTGTTATGGGGAGGGGGGTATGTGTGTTATGGGAGGGGTGTATGTGTGTTATGGGGAGGGGGTATGTGTGTTATGGGGAGAGGGGTATGTGTTTTATGTGGAGGGGGGTATGTCTGTAATGGGGAGAGGGGTATGTGTGTAATGGGGAGAGGGGTATGTATGTTATGGGGAGGAGGTATGTGTGTTATGGGGCGGGGGTACGTGTGTTAAGGGAAGGAGGTATGTGTGTTATGGGAAAGGGGGTATGTGTGTTATGGGGAGGGGGGTATGTGTGTTATGGGGAGGGGGTATGTGTGTTATGTGAAGGAGGTATGTGTGTTAGGGGGCGGGGGGTATATGTGTTATGGGAAGGAGGTTATGTGTGTTAGGGGGCGGGGGGGTATGTGTGTTATGGGGAGGGGGGTATGTGTGTTATGGGGAGGGGGTATGTGTGTTATGTGAAGGAGGTATGTGTGTTATGGGAAGGAGGTATGTGTGTTATGGGGAGGGGGGTATGTGTGTTATGGGGAGGAGGTTATGTGTGTTAGGGGGAGGGGGTATGTGTGTTAGGGGGAGAGGGGGGTGTTATGGGGAGGGGGTATGTGTATTATGGGAAGGAAGTATGTGTGTTAGGGGGAAGGAAGTATGTGTGTTAGGGGGAGGGGGTATGTGTGTTATGGGGAGGGGGTAAGGTGCTAAGTAATTATGTGAGTTGCATATATTTTGTAGAAATGCTATAATTACTTTGTGACATATGACAGTGATGGTAACTTACGTTTCTGCTCAAAATACAGAAACTCTAACACTTGACTACACACCACATACCTTCCTCCACACCAGAGTCCTCGGTCCGCGCCACGGAGAAACACGCGCTGCTGACGCTCGTGTCATCTGTGAAGTCAGGGCTGACCCCCGACGTGCAGTCCACGTACATGTCGTCCTGACTGATGTCGTCTGTGGAGCTCTCCGCCACAGCGTGGTGCACGCGGGCGTACATGGGGGTCTTGTCAGGGAGGTGCAGCACCTGCACACCAGTCCTCCCTTCACTCTCGTACAGGTCCAGCATCTCGTCCAGGGCTTCCAGCGACTTGCTGGCCTCTCGTTGTCTGAAAGACAGCAACACAACAAGTTACCAACAGTTGAGACACATTCTGGTGTTTGGTGCAGTGAAACCTCAGCTGATGTCCGTCATGGGCAACACCCTCATCCCCGACACCCTCATCCCCGACACCCTCATCCCGAACACCCTCATCCCGACACCCTCATCCCCGACACCCGAATTCCCAACACTCTCATCCCGAACACCCTCATCCCAGACACCCGAATCCCCGACACCCGAATCCCCAACACCCGAATCCCCAACACCCTCATCCCGCACACACTCATCCCCGACACCCTCATCCCGAACACTCTCATCCCGAACACCCTCATCCCCGACACCCTCATCCCGAACACTCTCATCCCGAACACCCTCATCCCTGACACCCTCACCCCGAACACTCTCATCCCGAACACCCTCATCCCAGACACCTTCATCCCGAACACCCTCATCCCGAACACCCTCATCCCCGACACCCTCATCTCCGACACCCGAATCCCCAACACCCGAATCCCCGACACCCGAATCCCGAACACTCTCATCCCTGACACCCTCACCCCGAACACTCTCATCCCGAACACCCTCATCCCAGACACCTTCATCCCGAACACCCGAATCCCGAACACCCTCATCCCTGACACCCTCATCTCCGACACCCTCATCCCTGACACCCTCACCCCGAACACTCTCATCCCGAACACCCTCATCCATGACACCCTCATCCCGAACACCCTCATCCCGAACACCCTCATCCCTGAAACCTTCATCCCGAACACCTTCATCCCGAACACTCTCATCCTGAACACCCTCATCCCCGACACCCTCATCCCCAACACCCTTATCCCAGACACCCTTATCCCCAACACCCTTATCCCAGACACCCTTATCCCAGACACCCTCATCCCTGACACCCTTATCCCAGACACCCTCATCCCTGACACCCTTATCCCAGACACCCTCATCCCTGACACCCTTATCCCAGACACCCTCATCCCTGACACCCTTATCCCAGACACCCTCATCCCTGACACCCTCATCCCCAACACCCTCATCCCGAACACCCTTATCCCAGACACCCTTATCCCGAACACCCTTATCCCAGACACCCTCATCCCTGTCACCCTTATCCCAGACACCCTCATCCCGAACACCCTCATCCCTGACACCCTCACCCCGAACACTCTCATCCCTGACACCCTCACCCCGAACACTCTCATCCCGAACACCCTCATCCCAGACACCTTCATCCCGAACACCCGAATCCTGAACACCCGAATCCCCAACACCCGAATTCCGAACACCCTCATCCCAGACACCCTCATCCCGAACACCCTCATCCCGAACACCCTCATCCCTATCACCCTCATCCCAAACACCCGAATCCCCAACACCCGAATCCCGAACACTCTCATCCCGAACACCCTCATCCCAGACACCCTCATCCCCGACACCAGTCTCATTAAAGTCAGTTCTTAGTTCTTGCTGCCGCTAAACAAAGATCTGAGGACATCCCATTATCAGACCGACCTTGCGCAAACTTTGACCGACCAATGGAATGACCAGTCAGAAGGCAGCTTTCTCGTGCTTAACGGCACTAATTTCAAATTGGCGACTACGCCTGAAACCTAAACAAAAGAACATTCTGGAATGGCTAATAGATGGTCTAGATTGTATGGGTTCAGTCGTTAAACCTGTAACTATCGTTCAGAATACCCCATGTTACAGTTTTAGACGTGAACCCAACGAAAATTCCCAATAAATAAAAGCACCAGTTTCCTGATGCGTCTTCAGACATTTTTAACATCAGTATATTTCATATTCAATGACATGACCTATCTTTATTTCCTTTCACGTACGCTTCTTCTCTCACTCTTACTCCTGCCTGTGTTATCAGCACCTGAGGTGTGATGTGGACACTTTGAAATGGCACTTTTTGTCACAGCGCAGCCGCGGAGAGACACACATTCTGCTCTCTCAACCTGACATCCATTAATGTTGATGGCATCAAGACTATTATTTTCTTTGCCTTGTCTGTGATTTTTGCCATGCCACAGCCGAGGAGACACCTTCTTGCTCCCTTGACTCAACATCTACTAATCCTGATGTCAGCATCTCAACTTTGAACTGTATTCACCTGGAATGTCAACTGCGCCAGTAACAAGTCCCGTTTGGTGCACATGTACTTACAATCTGTTGGTTGTGCCATGTCGGTGAGTGTCGTGGTCCATCTCGTCTTTCAGCCAATCCGAGAGTCTCCACTGCTGCCTCGCGACATCCTCCAAGAAGGCTGTGATCTGGTCAGTCTCCACTGCAACCTGCTTCAAGGAATGTTTCCTCTGTCTCCTTGCCGTGAATCCTCGCATCGCTGCATGTAACAGATGTCTTTGATACAGTCGACATAACAACATTGACTACACTGCATACATGATTCACCAAACAAACAACACCCACCATAGTCTGGTGTCCAATAACTGTTGAATGAAGGAATACATATTGCTTTACGCCACATCAGCAATATTGCAGCTATTCCAGGTGTTATATACCCACAGAGCCAGTTCTGCCTGTTATAACTGTATATATACCATTTTTACCTCACTAAGCGTCAAGCTACAATCAGTGCCCCCAAACCGACCAATCTGTGAATAATTTTGATAAGCATCCCTTACTAAGGCCAAAAATTATAACAGATTTCTACTGCACATGGGGGTATATGTTTTCATTCACCCACTGGCCTGTCATGTCAAAGTTCACCTACTCACATGGCTATATTGTATGAAGCATGCTGCTGGAATACTGACAAAAAGTTTAAAAAAACACCTCACGCATTCTCCACCAAACTATAAGGTTTCATACCAGCTTGGCATTTGACGACCTTGCCCTTGACCTCTCTGACCTTCTCGTCCATTGTATCCACTTGACCCTGGCGCAGGAAAACTTTTGATTTTCCGATCTGTGATAGCAAAAAATTCCAATAAAGTCATAAACTGTTGTAAAGTGATGTTCTTCGGATCAATGATAATCCCAGGAACTTCTTCAGTGGGAGGTAACTTGGATCTGACATTAATTTGGAGGCGGTAACTCTCATTAGATGGTAGTGTACAGAGGTAACTCTAATTAGATGGTAGTGTACAGAGGTAACCCCAATTAGATGGTAGTGTACAGAGGTAACTTGGATCTGACATTAATGTGGGGGCGGTAACTCTAATTAGATGGTAGTGTACAGAGGTAACTCTAATTAGATGGTAGTGTACAGAGGTAACTCTAATTAGATGGTAGTGTACAGAGGTAACTCTAATTAGATGGCAGTGTACAGAGGTAACTCTAATTAGATGGTAGTGTACAGAGGTAACTCTAATTAGATGGTAGTGTACAGAGGTAACTCCAATTAGATGGTAGTGTACAGAGGTAACTTGGATCTGACATTAATGTGGGGGCGGTAACTCTAATTAGATGGTAGTGTACAGAGGTAACTCTAATTAGATGGTAGTGTACAGAGGTAACTCTAATTAGATGGTAGTGTACAGAGGTAACTCTAATTAGATGGCAGTGTACAGAGGTAACTCTAATTAGATGGTAGTGTACAGAGGTAACTCTAATTAGATGGTAGTGTACAGAGGTAACTCCAATTAGATGGTAGTGTACAGAGGTAACTTGGATCTGACATTAATGTGGGGGCGGTAACTCTAATTAGATGGTAGTGTACAGAGGTAACTCTAATTAGATGGTAGTGTACAGAGGTAACTCTAATTAGATGGTAGTGTACAGAGGTAACTCTAATTAGATGGTAGTGTACAGAGGTAACTCTAATTAGATGGTAGTGTACAGAGGTAACTCTAATTAGATGGTAGTGTACAGAGGTAACTCTAATTAGATGGTAGTGTACAGGGGTAACTTGGAACTGACATTAATGTGGGTTCGGTAACTCTAATTAGATGGTAGTGTACAGAGGTAAATCTAATTAGATGGTAGTGTACAGAGGTAACTCTAATTAGATGGTAGTGTACAGAGGTAACTCTAATTAGATGGTAGTGTACAGAGGTAACTTGGAACTGACAATAATGTGGGGGCAGTAACTCTAATTAGATGGTAGTGTACAGAGGTAAATCTAATTAGATGGTAGTGTACAGAGGTAACTCTAATTAGATGGTAGTGTACAGAGGTAACTCTAATTAGATGGTAGTGTACAGAGGTAACTCTAATTAGATGGCAGTGTACAGAAGTAACTCTAATTAGATGGTAGTGTACAGAGGTAACTCTAATTAGATGGTAGTGTACAGAGGTAACTCTAATTAGATGGTAGTGTACAGAGGTAACTTGGATCTGACATTAATGTGGGGGCGGTAACTCTAATTAGATGGTAGTGTACAGAGGTAACTCTAATTAGATGGTAGTGTACAGAGGTAACTCCAATTAAATGGTAGTGTACAGTGGTAACTCTAATTAGATGGTAGTGTACAGAGGTAACTCCAATTAAATGGTAGTGTACAGAGGTAACTCCAATTAAATGGTAGTGTACAGAGGTAACCCTAATTAGTTGGTAGTGTACAGAGGTAACTCCAATTAGATGGTAGTGTACAGAGGTAACTCTAAGTAAATGGTAGTGTACAGAGGTAACTCTAATTAGATGGTAGTGTACAGAGGTAACTCTAATTAGATGGTAGTGTACAGAGGTAACTCTAATTAGATGGTAGTGTACAGAGGTAACTCTAATTAGATGGTAGTGTACAGAGGTAACTCTAATTACATGTAGTGTACAGAGGTAACTCTAATTAGATGGTAGTGTACAGAGGTAACTCTAATTAGATGGTAGTGTACAGAGGTAACTCTAATTAGATGGTAGTGTACAGAGGTAACTCTAATTAGATGGTAGTTTACAGAGGTAACCCCAATTAGATGGTAGTGAGCAGGGGTAACTTGGATCTGACATTAATGTGGGGGCGGTAACTCTAATTAGATGGTAGTGTACAGAGGTAACTCTAATTAGATGGTAGTGTACAGAGGTAACTCTAAGTAGATGGTAGTGTACAGAGGTAACTCTAATTAGATGGTAGTGTACAGAGGTAACTTTGATCTGACATTAATGTGCGGGCTGTGACTCTAATTAGATGGTAGTGTACAGAGGTTACTCTAATTAGATGGTAGTGTACAGAGGTAACTCTAATTAGATGGTAGTGTACAGAGGTAACTCTAATTAGATGGTAGTGTACAGAGGTAACTCTAATTAGATGGTAGTGTACAGAGGTAACTCTAATTAGATGGTAGTGTACAGAGGTAACTCTAATTAGATGGTAGTGTACAGAGGTAACTCTAATTAGATGGTAGTGTACAGAGGTAACTCTAATTAGATGGTAGTGTACAGAGGTAACTCTAATTAGATGGTAGTGTACAGAGGTAACTCTAATTAGATGGTAGTGTACAGAGGTAACTTGGATCTGACATTAATGTGGGGGCGGTAACTCTAATTAGATGGTAGTGTACAGAGGTAACTCTAATTAGATGGTAGTGTACAGAGGTAACTCCAATTAGATGGTAGTGTACAGAGGTAACTCTAATTAGATGGTAGTGTACAGAGGTAACTTGGATCTGACATTAATGTGGGGGCGGTAACTCTAATTAGATGGTAGTGTACAGAAGTAACTCTAATTAGATGGTAGTGTACAGAGGTAACTCTAATTAGATGGTAGTGTACAGAGGTAACCCCAATTAGATGGTAGTGTACAGAGGTAACTTGGATCTGACATTAATGTGGGGGCGGTAACTCTAATTAGATGGTAGTGTACAGAGGTAACTCCAATTAGATGGTAGTGTACAGAGGTAACTCTAATTAGATGGTAGTGTACAAAGGTAACTCTAATTAGATGGTAGTGTACAGAGGTAACTCTAATTAGATGGTAGTGTACAGATGTAACTCTAATTAGATGGTTGTGTACAGAGGTAACTCCAATTAGATGGTAGTGTACAGAGGTAACTCTAAGTAAATGGTAGTGTACAGAGGTAACTCTAATTAGATGGTAGTGTACAGAGGTAACTCTAATTAGATGGTAGTGTACAGAGGTAACTCTAATTAGATGGTAGTGTACAGAGGTAACTCTAATTAGATGGTAGTGTACAGAGGTAACTCTAATTACATGTAGTGTACAGAGGTAACTCTAATTAGATGGTAGTGTACAGAGGTAACTCTAATTAGATGGTAGTGTACAGAGGTAACTCTAATTAGATGGTAGTGTACAGAGGTAACTCTAATTAGATGGTAGTTTACAGAGGTAACCCCAATTAGATGGTAGTGAGCAGGGGTAACTTGGATCTGACATTAATGTGGGGGCGGTAACTCTAATTAGATGGTAGTGTACAGAGGTAACTCTAATTAGATGGTAGTGTACAGAGGTAACTCTAAGTAGATGGTAGTGTACAGAGGTAACTCTAATTAGATGGTAGTGTACAGAGGTAACTTTGATCTGACATTAATGTGCGGGCTGTGACTCTAATTAGATGGTAGTGTACAGAGGTTACTCTAATTAGATGGTAGTGTACAGAGGTAACTCTAATTAGATGGTAGTGTACAGAGGTAACTCTAATTAGATGGTAGTGTACAGAGGTAACTCTAATTAGATGGTAGTGTACAGAGGTAACTCTAATTAGATGGTAGTGTACAGAGGTAACTCTAATTAGATGGTAGTGTACAGAGGTAACTCTAATTAGATGGTAGTGTACAGAGGTAACTCTAATTAGATGGTAGTGTACAGAGGTAACTCTAATTAGATGGTAGTGTACAGAGGTAACTCTAATTAGATGGTAGTGTACAGAGGTAACTTGGATCTGACATTAATGTGGGGGCGGTAACTCTAATTAGATGGTAGTGTACAGAGGTAACTCTAATTAGATGGTAGTGTACAGAGGTAACTCCAATTAGATGGTAGTGTACAGAGGTAACTCTAATTAGATGGTAGTGTACAGAGGTAACTTGGATCTGACATTAATGTGGGGGCGGTAACTCTAATTAGATGGTAGTGTACAGAAGTAACTCTAATTAGATGGTAGTGTACAGAGGTAACTCTAATTAGATGGTAGTGTACAGAGGTAACCCCAATTAGATGGTAGTGTACAGAGGTAACTTGGATCTGACATTAATGTGGGGGCGGTAACTCTAATTAGATGGTAGTGTACAGAGGTAACTCCAATTAGATGGTAGTGTACAGAGGTAACTCTAATTAGATGGTAGTGTACAAAGGTAACTCTAATTAGATGGTAGTGTACAGAGGTAACTCTAATTAGATGGTAGTGTACAGATGTAACTCTAATTAGATGGTTGTGTACAGAGGTAACTCCAATTAAATGGTAGTGTACAGAGGTAACTTGGATCTGACATTAATGTGGGGGCGGTAACTCTAATTAGATGGTAGTGTACAGAGGTAACTCTAATTACATGGTAGTGTACAGAGGTAACTCTAATTAGATGGTAGTGTACAGAGGTAACTCCAATTAAATGGTAGTGTACAGAGGTAACTCTAATTAGATGGTAGTGTACAGGGGTAACTCCAATTAAATGGTAGTGTACAGAGGTAACTCCAATTAAATGGTAGTGTACAGAGGTAACTCTAATTAGTTGGTAGTGTACAGAGGTAACTCTAATTAGATGGTAGTGTACAGAGGTAACTCTCATTAGATGGTAGCGTACACAGATAACTCCAATTAAATGGTAGTGTACAGAGGTAACTCTAATTAGATAATAGTGTACAGAGGTAACTCCAATTTAATGGTAGTGTACAGAGGTAACTTGGATCTGACATTAATGTGGGGGCGGTAACTCTAATTAGATGGTAGTGTACAGAGGTAACTCTAATTAGATGGTAGTGTACAGAGGTAACTCTAATTAGATGGTAGTGTACAGAGGTAAATCTAATTAGATGGTAGTGTACAGAGGTAACTCTAATTAGATGGTAGTGTACAGAAGTAACTCTAATTAGATGGTATTGTACAGAGGTAACTCTAATTAGATGGTAGTGTACAGAGGTAACTCTAATTAGAGGGTAGTGTACAGAGGTAACTCTAATTAGATGGTAGTGTAGAGAGGTAACTTGGATCTGACATTGATGTGGGGGCGGTAACTCTAATTAGAGGGTAGTGTACAGAGGTAACTTGGATCTGACATTGATGTGGGGGCGGTAACTCTAATTAGATGATAGTGTACAGAGGTAACTCCAATTAGATGGTAGTGTACAGAGGTAACTCTAATTAGATGGTAGTGTACAGAGGTAACTCCAATTAGATGGTAGTGTACAGAGGTATCTCCAATAAGATGGTAGTGTACAGAGGTAACTCCAATTAAATGGTAGTGTACAGAGGTAACTCTAATTAGATGGTAGTGTACAGAGGTAACTCCAATTAGATGGTAGTGTACAGAGGTATCTCCAATAAGATGGTAGTGTACAGAGGTAACTCTTATCTGGGGGTACTGTACAGGAGGTAACTCCAGATCTCGGAGTACTGTACCGGAGTTAACTGAGTCCTACCTGATAGTTTGTGATGTGACAATGATTCAGCACGTCCCGGCACGCCTGCTCTGGCGTCACCATCCCCTTCCTGAGAGAGTTGACAAGGACGTCAAAGCAGCGGTACCTAATGCACAGAACGATCAGTGTATAAAGAGTCTCTCCACCCAAACCCCACCTCTCTTCTCCCGTCTGTACACCTCAACTCTATACACCCTCTCTGCACCCCATGTCACTGCACCCCACATCCGTACACTCCACATCCATACACTCCACATCCATACACCCCACATCCATACCCCCCACATCCATACCCCCCACATCCATACCCCCCACATCCGTACACCCCACATCCATACACCCCACATCCATTCACCCCACATCCATACACACGACATCCCTACCCCCCACATCGATACACCCCACATCCATACACCCCACATCCCTACACCCCACATCTGTACTCCCCACATCCATACCCCCCACGTCCATACACGCCACATCCATACACCCCACATCCCTACACCCCACATCCCTACACCCCACATCCATACCCCCCACATCCATACACCCCACATCCATACCCCCCACATCCATACCCCCCACATCAATACCCCCCACATCCATACCCCCCACATCCATACCCCCCACATCCGTACACCCCACATCCCTACACCCCACATCCATACACCCCACATCCATACACCCCACATCCATACCCCCTGCATCCGTACCCCCCACATCCGTACCCCCCACATCCGTACACCCCACATCCGTACACCCCACATCCGTACACCCCACATCCGTACACCCCACATCCATACACCCCACATCCATACACCCCACATCCATACACCCCACATCCATAAACCCCACATCCATACACCCCACATCCATACCCCCCACATCCATACACCCCACATCCATACACCCCACATCCATACACCCCACATCCATATACCCCACATCCATACACCCCACATCCATAAACCCTACATCCATACACCCCACATCCATACCCCCCACATCCATACACCATACACCCCACATCCATAAACCCTACATCCATACACCCCACATCCATAAACCGGACATCCATACACCCCACATCCATACCCCCCACATCCATACACCCCACATCCATACACCCCACATCCGTACACCCCACATCCATACACCCTGCATCCATAAACCCTACATCCTTAAACCCTACATCCATATACCCTACATCCATACACCCCACATCCATACACCCTACATCCATACACCCTACATCCATAAACCCCACATCCATACACCCTACATCCATACACCCCACATCCATAAACCCCACATCCATACACCCTACATCCATACACCCTACATCCATACACCCTACATCCATACACCCTACATCCATACACCCGACATCCATAAACCCCACATCCATACACCCCACATCCATAAACCCCACATCCATACACCCTGCATCCATAAACCCTACATCCATACACCCCACATCCATTCACCCCACATCCATACACACGACATCCCTACCCCCCACATCGATACACCCCACATCCATACACCCCACATCCATACCCCCCACATCCATACACCCCACATCCATACACCCCACATCCATACACCCCACATCCATATACCCCACATCCATATACCCCACATCCATACACCCCACATCCATAAACCCTACATCCATACACCCCACATCCATACCCCCCACATCCATACACCATACACCCCACATCCATAAACCCTACATCCATACACCCCACATCCATAAACCGGACATCCATACACCCCACATCCATACCCCCCACATCCATACACCCCACATCCATACACCCCACATCCGTACACCCCACATCCATACACCCTGCATCCATAAACCCTACATCCTTAAACCCTACATCCATATACCCTACATCCATACACCCCACATCCATACACCCTACATCCATACACCCTACATCCATAAACCCCACATCCATACACCCTACATCCATAAACCCCACATCCATACACCCCACATCCGTACACCCCACATCCATACACCCTGCATCCATAAACCCTACATCCTTAAACCCTACATCCATATACCCTACATCCATACACCCCACATCCATACACCCTACATCCATACACCCTACATCCATAAACCCCACATCCATACACCCTACATCCATAAACCCCACATCCATACACCCTACATCCATAAACCCTACATTCATACACCCCACATCCATAAACCCCACATCCATACACCCCACATCCATAAACCCCACATCCATACACCCCACATCCATACACCCTACATCCATACACCCTACATCCATACACCCCACATCCATACACCCCACATCTGTACACCTGACATCCGTACACCCGACATTCCCCGGTGACAGCTGATGGAGCTGACCTGGCCAGGAAGCTGGGGAAAGAGATCCGGAGTGCGTAGCCGTGTTTCCGTATCCTGACAGTTTCCAGCACGCCCGTGTACAGCAGCTGGGCCTTGACGTACTCCGTGGTGAAACCCAGCGCTGCCTTCGTCTCGTTCGGCTTGATGCACCGCACAAAGTGGGGCTGACACAACTGGAGCTTCGCCATCATGTCTGTCAGGGAGTTCTGACAAAAGCAATGTTATGCATGTGAGAAGGAAGTATCTCACAGTTCTGACAACAGCAATGTTAATGTGAGACAGAAGCATCTCACAGTTCACAGGCCCTGACTCACCTTGAACTGGTAGGCCCTGACTCACCTTGAACTGGTAGGCCTTGACTCACCTTGACCTGGTAGGCCTTGACTCACCTTGAACTGGTAGGCCTTGACTCACCTTGAACTGGTAGGCCTTGATTCACCTTGAACTGGTAGGCCTTGATTCACCTTGAACTGTTAGGCCTTGACTCACCTTGAACTGGTAGGCCTTGACTCACCTTGAACTGGTAGGCCTTGACTCACCTTGAACTGGTAGGCCTTGACTCACCTTGAACTGGTAGGCCTTGATTCACCTTGAACTGGTAGGCCCTGACCCACCTTGAACTGGTAGGCCCTGACCCACCTTGAACTGGTAGGCCCTGACTCACCTTGAACTGGTAGGCCTTGACTCACCTTGAACTGGTAGGCCATGGTGGCGGGGCCCTTCCTTGTGGTCCCTGTGGCAGTCAGCCGCTCACGTCTCTGCTCAGGCTGCAATATCATGGAGCGAGTGAGTTAAAAAAAATGTTGTGCCTCTGTTAAGAAGCTTGCAATTCCATTGGTTAATCAAAACCAGATGACAAAACAATACATTTCAATGCAGACCCCCAATCACTTGACTGATACTGACCTCGAACACTGACTCGTCACTTGATCACTTACATGATGAATATTCATTTTGCTAGAAAACAAAACGGTGTGACGTAACATTTCATGGTTCACCAGTATCTTGTTGACATGCTGGACAACAGAGACAGCAGAAATGTGATGCAGCAACAAATGTCCTGACAATTACTGTGAATCTAGGGGAAAGTTTTTTTGTTTTGTTTGTTTGTTTGTTTCAAGTCAAATTAGTTCCTGTTGTTTCATCATCACGTCCCAAATGTCAAGGTGTCAACTCAACACAGAGCAGGTTTACTGGCTTTCCCTACATCTGCTATTTGACATCCTCAGGTTTACTGGCTTTCCGTACTTCTGCTATTTGACATCCTCAGGTTTATTGGCTTTCCCTACATCTGCTATTTGACATTCTCAGGTTTACTGGCTTTCCCTACATCTGCTATTTGACATTCTCAGATTTACTGGCTTTCCCTACTTCTGCTATTTGACATCCTCAGGTTTACTGGCTTTCCCTACATCTGCTATTTGACATTCTCAGGTTTACTGGCTTTCCCCACTTCTGCTATTTGACATCCTCGGGTTTACTGGCTTTCCGTACATCTGCTATTTGACATCCTCAGGTTTATTGGCTTTCCCTACATCTGCTATTTGACATTCTCAGGTTTACTGGCTTTCCCCACTTCTGCTATTTGACATCCTCAGGTTTACTGGCTTTCCGTACATCTGCTATTTGACATCCTCAGGTTTACTGGCTTTCCCTACATCTGCTATTTGACATCCTCAGGTTTACTGGCTTTCCCTACATCTGCTATTTGACATCCTCAGGTTTACTGGCTTTCCCTACATCTGCTATTTGACATTCTCAGGTGAAGAAATGAGGAGATGCCGCAGCCAGTCTGTGCAGAACTAAATCTGTAGCTATGCTGATCATTGTAGGTTTCTTTTGTGAAATGTGTATTGTGTATGTTGTGTTTCTTGTGTTTCTTGTGTATGTTGTGTTTATTGTGTTTCTTGTGTTTCTTGTGTTTGTTGTATTTCTTGTGTTTGTTGTATTTCTTGTGTTTGTTGTGTTTCTTGTGTTTGTTGTATTTCTTGTGTTTCTTGTGTTTGTTGTATTTCTTGTGTTTGTTGTGTTTCTTGTGTTTCTTGTGTTTGTTGTATTTCTTGTGTTTGTTGTGTTTCTTGTGTTTGTTGTATTTCTTGTGTTTCTTGTGTTTGTTGTATTTCTTGTGTTTCTTGTGTTTGTTGTGTTTGTTGTGTTTATTGTGTTTCTTGTTTTTCTTGTGTTTCTTGTGTTTGTTGTGTGTTTCTTGTGTTTCTTGTGTTTATTGTGTTTCTTGTTTTTCTTGTGTTTCTTGTGTTTGTTGGTGTGATTCCCCACATGGAATCTGTATGATGCCCATTTCTGTAAAAAACAGACACAATCACTAATTCACTCACTCACACCAAAGTTAAGCTGTTCACTGTTAAAGGGAGACAACCAATCATAGTTAGGGTATTTCTTGTGTTAGCTGATTAGCACAACATGAATTAGTGTACATATACATGTATTAAACATATAATTACTCTAGACAACATGGTTAATCAAATGTAGGTCTCATATTGACGCCATCAAGCGTAGTGTATGTATACTGATCATTGTAGGTTTCTTTTGTGAAATGTGTATTGTGTATGTTGTGTTTCTTGTGTTTCTTGTGTATGTTGTGTTTATTGTGTTTCTTGTGTTTCTTGTGTTTGTTGTATTTCTTGTGTTTGTTGTATTTCTTGTGTTTGTTGTGTTTCTTGTGTTTGTTGTATTTCTTGTGTTTCTTGTGTTTGTTGTATTTCTTGTGTTTGTTGTGTTTGTTGTGTTTCTTGTGTTTGTTGTATTTCTTGTGTTTGTTGTGTTTCTTGTGTTTGTTGTATTTCTTGTGTTTCTTGTGTTTGTTGTATTTCTTGTGTTTCTTGTGTTTCTTGTGTTTGTTGTGTTTATTGTGTTTCTTGTTTTTCTTGTGTTTCTTGTGTTTGTTGTGTGTTTCTTGTGTTTCTTGTGTTTCTTGTGTTTATTGTGTTTCTTGTTTTTCTTGTGTTTCTTGTGTTTGTTGTGTTTGTTGTGTTTCTTGTGTTTGTTGGTGTGATTCCCCACATGGAATCTGTATGATGCCCATTTCTGTAAAAAACAGACACAATCACTAATTCACTCACTCACTCCAAAGTTAAGCTGTTCACTGTTAAAGGGAGACAACCAATCATAGTTAGGGTATTTCTTGTGTTAGCTGATTAGCACAACATGAATTAGTGTACATATACATGTATTAAACATATAATTACTCTAGACAACATGGTTAATCAAATGTAGGTCTCATATTGACGCCATCAAGCGTAGTGTATGTATAATGCAAGAGTAGTGTATGTATAATGTAAGAGTAACGTATGTATAATGTGAGAGTAGTGTATGTATAATGTAAGAGTAGTGTATGTATAATGTGAGAGTAGTGTATGTATAATGTGAGAGTAGTGGATGTATACTGTGAGAGTAGTGGATGTATAATGTAAGAGTAGTGTATGTATAACGTGAGAGTAGTGTATGTATAATGTGAGAGTAGTGTATGTATAATGTGAGAGTAGTGGATGTATAATGTAAGAGTAGTGTATGTATAATGTGAGAGTAGTGTATGTATAATGCAAGAGTAGTGTATGTATAATGTAAGAGTAGTGTATGTATAATGTGAGAGTAGTGTATGTATACTGTGAGAGTAGTGTATGTATAATGCAAGAGTAGTGTATGTATAATATAAGAGTAGTGTATGTATAATGTAAGAGTAGTGTATGTATAATGTAAGAGTAGTGTATGTATAATGTAAGAGTAGTGGATGTATACTGTAAGAGTAGTGTTTGTATACTGTAAGAGTAGTGGATGTATACTGTGAGAGTAGTGTATGTATAATGTGAGAGTAGAGTATGTATAATTTAAGAGTAGTGTATGTATACTGTAAGAGTAGTGTATGTATAATGTGAGAGTAGTGTATGTATAACGTGAGAGTAGTGTATGTATAATGTGAGAGTAGTGTATGTATAATGTGAGAGTAGTGGATGTATAATGTAAGAGTAGTGTATGTATAATGTGAGAGTAGTGTATGTATAATGCAAGAGTAGTGTATGTATAATGTAAGAGTAGTGTATGTATAATGTGAGAGTAGTGTATGTATACTGTGAGAGTAGTGTATGTATAATGCAAGAGTAGTGTATGTATAATATAAGAGTAGTGTATGTATAATGTAAGAGTAGTGTATGTATAATGTAAGAGTAGTGTATGTATAATGTAAGAGTAGTGGATGTATACTGTAAGAGTAGTGTTTGTATACTGTAAGAGTAGTGGATGTATACTGTGAGAGTAGTGTATGTATAATGTGAGAGTAGAGTATGTATAATTTAAGAGTAGTGTATGTATACTGTAAGAGTAGTGTATGTATAATGTGAGAGTAGTGTATGTATAATGTAAGAGTAGTGTATGTATACTGTAAGAGTAGTGTATGTATAATGTAAGAGTAGTGTATGTATACTGTGAGAGTAGTGGATGTATAATGTGAGAGTAGTGGATGTATAATGTAAGAGTAGTGGATGTATACTGTGAGAGTAGTGGATGTATACTGTGAGAGTAGTGTATGTATAATGTAAGAGTAGTGTATGTATAACGTAAGAGTAGTGTATGTATACTGTAAGAGTAGTGTATGTATAATGTGAGAGTAGTGTATGTATAATGTGAGAGTAGTGGATGTATAATGTGAGAGTAGTGTATGTATACTGCAAGAGTAGTGTATGTATAATGTGAGAGTAGTGTATGTATACTGTGAGAGTAGTGTATGTATACTGTAAGAGTAGTGTGTGTATACTGTAAGAGTAGTGGATGTATAATGTGAGAGTAGTGTATGTATAATGTGAGAGTAGTGTATGTATACTGTAAGAGTAGTGTATGTATACTGTGAGAGTAGTGTATGTATACTGTAAGAGTAGTGTATGTATAATGTGAGAGTAGTGTATGTATAATGTGAGAGTAGTGTATGTATAATGTGAGAGTAGTGTATGTATAATGTGAGAGTAGTGTATGTATACTGTAAGAGTAGTGTATGTATATTGTGAGAGTAGTGGATGTATAATGTTAGAGAGACGAGACTGAAGACATCTGATGATCACAAAAACAACTGTGTGAGATGGAGTTGACCGTTGATTGTCTTCCAGGAATTTAATGGACATTATCCCATTCATCTGGCTTCTGTAGCAGCCTTGGTGCTTCTCATTACTCACTCTCTCCATCTTTGGACCTTTCATCTTCTTGAAGAACTCAAACGGGGACTTGGATGTCTTGAGCTGCCTCTTGAAACTCAGCTCCCGCTGCAGGGAGAGCTGTCTGGTGCTGGGCTTGATGGAGCCGGTCTTCGTCATCCCCGCCTGGAACAGGTCCTTGATCAGCAGACTTGTGCTGGCTGCAACACATAGACATGGTACATACAGACATGGTACAGACATACAAGGTACAGACAAAAATGGCACAGACTGACATTCACAGAACAGACAGACATGGTACAGACTGACAGACAGACATGTTTCACACAGACATGTTACAGACAGACATACATGGTACAGACAGACAATGGTACATACAGACATGGAACACACAGACATGGTACAGACAGACAAGGAAGAGATAGACAGAACAGACAGACATGGTACAGACAGACACGGTTCACACAGACAGACATAGTACAGACAGACACAGAACAGACATACATGGTACAGACATGGTACAGACTGACATTCAAGGAACAGACAGACATTGTACAGACAAACAGACAGACATGGTACAGACAGACACAGAACAGACAGATATGGTACTGACAGACATGGAACACACAGACTTGGAAAAGACAGACATGGTACACAAAGACAGACATGGAACACACAGACATGGTACAGACATACATGGTACACAAAGACAGACAGACATGGTACAGACAGACAGACAGACAGACACAGAACAGACAAACAGAGAGACACAGAACAGAAAGACATGGTGCACACAGACACAGAACAGACAGATATGGTACAGACAGACATGGTACAGACAGACATGGTACAGACAAACAGACAGATATGGTAGAGACAGACACAGAACAGACAGACATGGAACACACAGACATGGTACAGACAGAAATGGTACACACATACCTGGTACAGACAGACAAATGGTACAGAAGAAAGACACAGAACAGACAGACATGGTACAGACTGACAGACAAAGAGACAGACGTGGAACAGACAGACATGGTACCGACTGACAGACAAACAGACAGACATGGTACACAAAGACACGAAACAGACAGACATGGTACAGACAGACAGACACAGAACAGTGAGACATGGTACACACAGATATGGTACAGACTTACATAGTACAGACAGACAGACAGACACTGAACAGACTGACATGGAAAAGACTGACAGACATGGAACAGACAGACACAGAACAGACAGACATGGTACAGACACACATACCTGGTACAGACAGACAAATGGTACAGAAGAAAGACACAGAACAGACAGACATGGTACAGACTGACAGACAAAGAGACAGACGTGGAACAGACAGACATGGTACCGACCGACAGACAAACAGACAGACATGGTAGAGACAGACACAGAACAGACAGACATGGTACAGAAAGACACGAAACAGACAGACATGGTACACACAGACATGGTACAGACATACATAGTACAGACAGACAGACAGACAGACACTGAACAGACTGACATGGTACAGACTGACAGACATGGATCAGACAGACATAGAACAGACAGACATGGTTCAGACACTCATAGTACAGACAGACAAACACTGAACAGACACGGAACAGACAGACATGGTACAGACAGACATACATGGAACAGACAGACATGGTACAGACTGACAGACAAAGAGACAGACATGGAACACAGACATGGTACCGACCGACAGACAAACAGACAGACATGGTAGAGACAGACACAGAACAGACAGACATGGTACAGAAAGACACGAAACAGACAGACTTGGTACACACAGACATGGTACAGACATACATAGTACAGACAGACAGACAAACAGACAGACAGACACTGAACAGACTGACATGGTACAGACTGACAGACATGGATCAGACAGACATAGAACAGACAGACAAACACTGAACAGACATGGAACAGACAGACATATGGTACAGACAGAAAGACACAGAACAGACAGCATTGGTACAGACTGACATGGTACAGAAAGACACGAAACAGACAGATATGGTACAGACAGACAGACACAGAACAGCGAGACATGGTAGACACAGACATGGTACAGACATACATAGTACAGACAGACAGACATAGAACAGACAGACATGGTTCAGACACACATAGTACAGACAGACAAACACTGAACAGACACGGAACAGACAGACATGGTACAGACAGACATGGTACAGACAGAAAGACACAGAACAGACAGCATTGGTACAGACTGACATGGTACAGAAAGACACGAAACAGACAGACATGGTACAGACACACATGGTACAGAAAGACACGAAACAGACAGACATGGTACAGACACACATGGTACAGACAGACAGACACAGAACAGCAAGACATGGTACACACAGACATGGTACAGACATACATAGTACAGACAGACAGACACTGAACAGACTGACATGGTACAGACGGACAGACATGGAACAGATAGACATAGAACAGACAGACATGGTTCAGACACACATAGTAAAGACAGACAAACACTGAACAGACAGACATGGAACAGACAGACATGATACACACAGACACATGTTACAGACAGAAAGACATGGAACAGACATACATGGTACAGACTGACAAAGAGACAAGACATGGAACAGACAGACAGTGTACAGACTGATAGACATGGAGCACACAGACATGGTACATACTGACAGACAAACAGACAGACATGGAACAGACAGACATGGTACAGACACACATAGTAAAGACAGACAAACACTGAACAGACAGACATGGAACAGACAGACATGATACACACAGACATCGGGTACAGACAGAAAGACACGGAACAGACAGACATGGAACAGACAGACATGATACACACATACATATGGTACAGACAGAAAGACACTGAACAGACAGACATGGTACAGACAGACAAAGAGACAAGACATGGAACAGACAGACATAGAACAGACAGACAGTGTACAGACTGACAGACATGGAGCAGACAGACATGGTACAGACAGACAGACACAGAACAGTGAGACATGGTACACACAGATATGGTACAGACTTACATAGTACAGACAGACAGACAGACACTGAACAGACTGACATGGAAAAGACTGACAGACATGGAACAGACAGACACAGAACAGACAGACATGGTACAGACACACATACCTGGTACAGACAGACAAATGGTACAGAAGAAAGACACAGAACAGACAGACATGGTACAGACTGACAGACAAAGAGACAGACGTGGAACAGACAGACATGGTACCGACCGACAGACAAACAGACAGACATGGTAGAGACAGACACAGAACAGACAGACATGGTACAGAAAGACACGAAACAGACAGACATGGTACACACAGACATGGTACAGACATACATAGTACAGACAGACAGACAGACAGACACTGAACAGACTGACATGGTACAGACTGACAGACATGGATCAGACAGACATAGAACAGACAGACATGGTTCAGACACTCATAGTACAGACAGACAAACACTGAACAGACACGGAACAGACAGACATGGTACAGACAGACATACATGGAACAGACAGACATGGTACAGACTGACAGACAAAGAGACAGACATGGAACACAGACATGGTACCGACCAACAGACAAACAGACAGACATGGTAGAGACAGACACAGAACAGACAGACATGGTACAGAAAGACACGAAACAGACAGACTTGGTACACACAGACATGGTACAGACATACATAGTACAGACAGACAGACAAACAGACAGACAGACACTGAACAGACTGACATGGTACAGACTGACAGACATGGATCAGACAGACATAGAACAGACAGACAAACACTGAACAGACATGGAACAGACAGACATATGGTACAGACAGAAAGACACAGAACAGACAGCATTGGTACAGACTGACATGGTACAGAAAGACACGAAACAGACAGATATGGTACAGACAGACAGACACAGAACAGCGAGACATGGTAGACACAGACATGGTACAGACATACATAGTACAGACAGACAGACATGGATCAGACAGACATAGAACAGACAGACATGGTTCAGACACACATAGTACAGACAGACACGAAACAGACAGACATGGTACAGACACACATGGTACAGACAGACAGACACAGAACAGCGAGACATGGTACACACAGACATGGTACAGACAGACATGGTACAGACAGACATATGGTACAGACAGAAAGACACAGAACAGACAGCATTGGTACAGACTGACATGGTACAGAAAGACACGAAACAGACAGACATGGTACAGACACACATGGTACAGAAAGACACGAAACAGACAGACATGGTACAGACACACATGGTACAGACAGACAGACACAGAACAGCAAGACATGGTACACACAGACATGGTACAGACATACATAGTACAGACAGACAGACACTGAACAGACTGACATGGTACAGACGGACAGACATGGAACAGATAGACATAGAACAGACAGACATGGTTCAGACACACATAGTAAAGACAGACAAACACTGAACAGACAGACATGGAACAGACAGACATGATACACACAGACACATGTTACAGACAGAAAGACATGGAACAGACATACATGGTACAGACTGACAAAGAGACAAGACATGGAACAGACAGACAGTGTACAGACTGATAGACATGGAGCACACAGACATGGTACATACTGACAGACAAACAGACAGACATGGAACAGACAGACATGGTACAGACACACATAGTAAAGACAGACAAACACTGAACAGACAGACATGGAACAGACAGACATGATACACACAGACATCGGGTACAGACAGAAAGACACGGAACAGACAGACATGGAACAGACAGACATGATACACACATACATATGGTACAGACAGAAAGACACTGAACAGACAGACATGGTACAGACAGACAAAGAGACAAGACATGGAACAGACAGACATAGCACAGACAGACAGTGTACAGACTGACAGACATGGAGCAGACAGACATGTTACATACTGACAGACAAACAGACAGACAAACAAACATACATGGAACAGACAGACACTGAACAGACAGACATGGTACAGACACACATAGTAAAGACAGACACACATAGTAAAGACAGACAAACACTGAACAGACAGACATGGAACAGACAGACATGATACACACAGGCATCGGGTACAGACAGAAAGACACGGAACAGACAGACATGGTACAGACAGACTTGGTACAGACACACATGGTACAGACAGACAGTGTACAGACTGACAGACATGGTACATACTGACAGACAAACATTGAACAGAAAGACCTCGAACAGACAGACATGGTACATACTGACAGACAAACAGACATACATGGAACAGACAGACACGGAACAGACAGACATGGTACAAACAGACAGTGTACAGACTGACAGACAAACATTGAACAGAAAGACACGGAACAGACAGACATGGTACAGACAGACAGTGTACAGACTGACAGACATAGAGCAGACAGACATGGAACATCCAGACTTGTGCTGGCTGCAACACAGGTAACAGGCAGGCACAGTCATGGGAGAGGTCTATGTACAATTGTACAATGAAGATCTAGACACACAAGGCTCACTTACATCTCATGGCAAAGCCGAGGGCTCCCCGCAAGGTGTCCCTGTTTTTGTCCAGCATGCCGGTCAGGTTGTAGCAGATGCTGCCTGCGTAGTGGACGATGGTGAAGCTGGTGCCCTTGTCCCGGGGAGTCTTGTATACGGTGGGGTACTTGGCACCTAGGGCAGAGTACACAGCAAGTCAGTACAGGCCATCCACAACCAGCTGACCACCATCTTGTCAATGTCAGGTTGTGTTGTAAAGATGGGGGATGTGTTGTAAAGATGGGGGTTTGTTGTAAAGGTGGGGGTTGTGTTGGAAAGATGGGGGCAGTGTTGTAAAGATGGGGGTTATGCTGTAAAGATGGGGGTCGTGTTGTAAAGATGAGTAATGTGTTGTAAAGATGGGGGTTGTGTTGTAAAGATGGGTAATGTGTTGTAAAGATGGGAGTTGTGTGGTAAAGGTGGGTAATGTGTTGTAAAGATGGGGGTTGTGTTGTAAAGGTGGGGATTGTGGTGTAAAGATGGGTGTGTGGTGTAAAGATGGGCGTTGTGTTGTAAAGATGGGGGTTGTGTGGTAAAGGTGGGGGTTGTGTTGTAAAGGTGGGGGTTGTGTGGTAAAGATAGGGGTTGTGTTGTAAAGATGGGTAATGTGTTGTAAAGATGGGGGTTATGTTGAAAAGGTGGGGGTTGTGTTGTTAAGGTGGGGGTTGTGATGTAAAGGTGGGGATTGTGGAGTAAAGATGGGTAATGTGTTGTAAAGATGGGGGATGTGTGGTAAAGGTGGGGATTGTGTTGTAAAGATTGGGGTGTGGTGTAAAGATGGGTAATGTGTTGTAAAGATGGGGGTTATGTTGTAAAGGTGGGGGTTGTGTTGTAAAGGTGGGGGTTGTGTGGTAAAGGTGGGTAATGTGGTGTAAAGATGGGGGTTTGTTGTAAAGATGGGGGTTGTGTTGTAAAGATGGGCGTTGTGTTGTAAAGATTGGGGTGTGGTGTAAAATGTGGGTTGTGGTGTAAAGATGGGGGTTGTGGTGTCAAGGTGGGGTTGTGGTGTAAAGGTGGGGGATGTGGTGTAAAGGTGGGGGTTGTTGTGTAAAACTGGGGGTTGTGTTGTAAAGGTGGGGGTGAGGGATGTGAGGGAGTGTACCTGGCCCCTGGTGCAGCTTGGTGGCCAGGCTTCTGTCTGTGGCCTGCTTCAGCAAACTCTCCTCATCCAGTAGCGCTAGGATGCCTGTGTTCTTCTGCAACACAACATGACACAACATGACAGCATGACACAATGGGGAGTTTCAGGTCAGTCACCATCTGATGGACCACATGGACACACACACAGTCACACTGTTTGGGATGTATCTGTGACATCAGAATCAACTACGCACCTCTAGGAAGAGGCTGATAGCACTATGGTTTCCAGGACAACCAACATCAATGACAGGAACGCCCTCAAGCAGGCAGTCTTGTCTCTCCTGCTGGAACACCCGCTCGTTGAAAAACATCTGCAGCTGCTCATTGGCCAGGTTGATGCAGATCTGGAAACAGACAGGCCATCACAGACAATTACAGACATTGACAGGCAACCAATCACAGCCAATGACATACCACCAATCATGCACAATCACAGACAACCAATCACAGATCGCCAATCACAGGCAACCAATTGCAATCATAGATAATCAATGACAGACAATCACAAAAAATTACAGACAGTTAAAGACATGCAATCGCAGTCAGTTACAGACAACTTATCACAGACATCCAATAACAGACAGTTAAAGACAGCATTTCAGTCAGTTACAGCCAACCAATCACGGACAGTCACGAACAAGTTACAGACAGTTTAGATTAGATTAGAACAATTAGAGAGCCAGTCAGAAACAGTTACAGAAAACCAACCACAGTCAGTTACAGACAGTCACAAACAATCACAGACAGTCACAGACAACCAATCATTGACAGTTACAGACAACCAATCATTGACTGTTACAGACAACCAATCATTGACAGTTACAGACAACCAATCATTGACAGTTACAGACTGACTTAACACGTCATGTAGTGTGAGACAAACTAGTCATGGAATTTCCACTAACTACAGCCATGGTGTGTATGTATTTATATAACTACAGCCATGGTGTGTATGTATTTATATAATTACAGCATCTCAGCAACACAGCACATACATACCTGCTCAAAGCCATTGTTCTTCAAGTTCTCAAATCCAAATATATCCAGGATAGAAACACTTAGGCTGGTCTCACTGCAACACACCAACACACATGGTACAAGGGAACCGCTTGTTCAAGTAGGTATTGTCATCATCTCGTGTGGCATCTAAGCAGGTACAACTAATTCATGTGGCTTCATCACATTGTCCACCATCTGTCTAACAATCTGAATCAAGTAGGGGATACAATATGACATGACAACATTATTGTATCTAGAACTATCTGCGCCACCTGGGGTCCACAGCCTTACATGACAACATTATTGTATCTAGAAATATCTGTGCCACCTGGGGTCTACAGCCTTACATGACAACATTATTGTGTCTAGAACTATCTGCGTCACCTGGGGTCTACAGCCTTACATGACAACATTATTGTATCTAGAACTATCTGCATCACCTGGGGTCTACAGCCTTACATGACAACATTATTGTATCTAGAACTATGTGTGCCACCTGGGGTCTACAGCCTTACATGACAACATTATTGTATCTAGAACTATCTGGGTCACCTGGGGTCTACAGCCTTATATGACAACATTATTGTATCTAGAACTATCTGTGCCACCTGGGGTCTACAGCCTTACATGACAACATTATTGTATCTAGAACTATCTGCATCACCTGGGGTCTATAGAGTACTATCTGGTTCACATAGGGTCTATAAAGAACTATCTGGGTCACCTGGGATCTGTATAGAACTATATGGCTCACCTTTGGTCTATATATAGAACTATCTAGGTCACCAGGGTCTGTACAGAACTATATGGGCCACCTGGGGTTTATATAGAACTATATGGCTCACCTTTGGTGTATATATAGAACTATCTAGGTCATCTGGGGTCTATAGAGAACTATCTGGGTCACCTTGGGTCTATATAGAACTATCTGGGTCACCTGAGGTCTATAGAGAACTATCTGGGTCACCTGGGGTCTATATAGAACTATCTGGGTCACCTGAGGTCTAGAGAGAACTATCTGGGTCACCTGGGGTCTATAGAGACCTATCTGGGTCACCTGGGGTCTATATAGAACTATCTGGGTCACCTGAGGTCTATAGAGAACTATCTGGGCCACCTGGGGTCTATATAGAACTATCTGGGTCACCTGGGGTCTACAGAGAACTATGTAGGTCACCTGAGGTCTATAGAGAATTATCTGGGTCCCCTGGGGTCTATAGAGAACTATCTAGGTCACCTGAGGTCTATAGAGAATTATCTAGGTCACCTGGGGTCTATATAGAACTATCTGGGTCACCTGAGGTCTATAGAGAACTATCTAGGTCACCTTGGGTCTATATAGAACTATCTGGGTCACCTGAGGTCTATAGAGAACTATCTAGGTCACCTGGGGTCTATATAGAACTATCTGGGTCACCTGAGGTCTATAGAGAACTATCTGGGTCACCTGGGATCTATATAGAACTATCTGGGTCACCTGAGGTCTGTAGAAAACTATCTGGGTCACCTGAGGTATATAGAGAACTATCTGGGTCACCTGAGGTCTATAGAGAACTATCTAGGTCACCTGGGATCTATAGAGAACTATCTGGGTCACCAGGGGTCTATAGAGAACTATCTAGGTCACCTGGGATCTATAGAGAACTATTTAGGTCACCTGGGATCTATAGAGAACTATCTAGGTCACCTGGGATCTATATAAAACTATCTGGGTCACCTGGGGTCTATAGAGAACTATCTGGGTCACCTGGGGTTTATAGAGAACTATCTAGGTCACCTGGGATCTATAGAGAACTATTTAGGTCACCTGGGATCTATAGAGAACTATCTAGGTCACCTGGGGTCTATATAGAACTATCTGGGTCACCTGATGTCTATAGAGAACTATCTGGGTCACCTGGGGTCTATATAGAACTATCTGGGTCACCTGAGGTCTATAGAGAACTATCTAGGTCACCTGGGATCGACAGGCTGGATTGTGTTGTTGATTCCATTCACCAGCCAGCTGAATATGCGAGAGTACAGGGCCTTGGCCAGGGCATCTCGGCTGTCCTCCGCCTCACTCACAGACAGGGGGCGCCGCAACTCCTCACCTGCAACAAGACGTCACTCAACATCACACACAGCTGGTTGAAGCACTCAACATCACACACAGCTGGTAGAAGCACTCAACATCACACACACCTGGTGGATGCCCTCAACATCACACAGAGCTGGTGGAAGCACTCAACATCACACAGAGCTGGTGGAGGCCCTCAACATCACACAGAGCTGGTGGAAGCCCTCAACATCACACAGAGCTGGTGGAAGCCCTAAACATCACACTGTGTTGATGGAAGCCCTCAACATCACACAGAGCTGGATGACGCCCTCAACATCACACAGAGCTGGTGGAAGCCCTCAACATCACACAGAGCTGGTGGAAGCCCTCAACATCACACAGAGCTGGTGGATGCCCTCAACATCACACAGAGCTGGTGGAAGCCCTCAACATCACACAGAGCTGGTGGATGCCCTCAACATCACACTGTGTTGGTGGATGCCCTCAACATCACACAGAGCTGGTGGAAGCACTCAACATCACGCAGTGTTGGTGGATGCCTTCAACATCACACAGAGCTGGTGGAAGCCCTCAACATCACACAGAGCTGGTGGAAGCCCTCAACATCACACAGAGCTGGTGGATGCCCTCAACATCACACAGTGTTGATGGAAGCCCTCAACATCACACAGAGCTGGTGGAAGCCCTCAACATCACACAGAGCTGGTGGAAGCCCTCAACATCACACAGAGCTGGTGGAAGCCCTCAACATCACACAGAGCTGGTGGAAGCCCTCAACATCACACAGAGCCGGTGGATGCCCTCAACTTCACACAGTGTTGGTGGAAGCCCTAAACATCACATAGAGCTGGTGGAAGCACTCAACATCACGCAGTGTTGGTGGATGCCTTCAACTTCACACAGTGATGGTGGATGCCCTCAACATCACACAGAGCTGGTGGAAGCACTCAACATCTACCAGAGCTGGTTGGAAGCCCTCAACATCACACAGAGCTGGTGGAAGCCTTCAACTTCACACAGTGTTGGTGGAGGCCCTCAACATCACGCAGTGTTGGTGGAAGCCCTAAACATCACACAGAGCTGGTGGATGCCCTCAACATCACACAGTGTTGGTGGAAGCCCTAAACATCACACAGAGCTGGTGGAAGCCCTCAACATCACACAGTGTTGGTGGAGGCCCTCAACATCACACAGTGTTGGTGGAAGCCCTCAACATCACACAGAGCTGGTGGAAGCCCTCAACATCACACAGAGCTGGTGGAAGTCCTCAACATCACACAGAGCTGGTGGAAGCCCTCAACATCACACAGAGCTGGTGGATGCCCTAAACATCACACAGAGCTGGTGGAAGCCCTCAACATCACACAGTGTTGTTGGATGCCCTCAACATCAGACAGAGCTGGTGGAAGCCCTCAACATCACACAGAGCTGGTGGAAGCCCTCAACATCACACAGAGCTGGTGGATGCCCTCAACATCACACAGAGCTGGTGGAAGCCCTCAACATCACACAGAGCTGGTGGATGCCCTCAACATCACACTGTGTTGGTGGATGCCCTCAACATCACACAGAGCTGGTGGAAGCACTCAACATCACGCAGTGTTGGTGGATGCCTTCAACATCACACAGAGCTGGTGGAAGCCCTCAACATCACACAGAGCTGGTGGAAGCCCTCAACATCACACAGAGCTGGTGGATGCCCTCAACATCACACAGTGTTGATGGAAGCCCTCAACATCACACAGAGCTGGTGGAAGCCCTCAACATCACACAGAGCTGGTGGAAGCCCTCAACATCACACAGAGCTGGTGGAAGCCCTCAACATCACACAGAGCTGGTGGAAGCCCTCAACATCACACAGAGCCGGTGGATGCCCTCAACTTCACACAGTGTTGGTGGAAGCCCTAAACATCACACAGAGCTGGTGGAAGCACTCAACATCACGCAGTGTTGGTGGATGCCCTCAACATCACACAGTGATGGTGGATGCCCTCAACATCACACAGAGCTGGTGGAAGCACTCAACATCTACCAGAGCTGGTTGGAAGCCCTCAACATCACACAGAGCTGGTGGAAGCCTTCAACTTCACGCAGTGTTGGTGGAGGCCCTCAACATCACGCAGTGTTGGTGGAAGCCCTAAACATCACACAGAGCTGGTGGATGCCCTAAACATCACACAGAGCTGGTGGATGCCCTCAACATCACACAGAGCTGGTGGAAGCCCTCAACATCACACAGTGTTGGTGGAGGCCCTCAACATCACACAGAGCTGGTGGAAGCCCTCAACATCACACAGAGCTGGTGGAAGCCCTCAACATCACACAGAGCCGGTGCATGCCCTCAACTTCACACAGTGTTGGTGGAAGCCCTAAACATCACACAGAGCTGGTGGAAGCACTCAACATCTACCAGAGCTGGTTGGAAGCCCTCAACATCACACAGAGCTGGTGGAAGCCTTCAACTTCACACAGTGTTGGTGGAGGCCCTCAACATCACGCAGTGTTGGTGGAAGCCCTAAACATCACACAGAGCTGGTGGATGCCCTCAACATCACACAGTGTTGGTGGAAGCCATAAACATCACACAGAGCTGGTGGAAGCACTCAACATCTACCAGAGCTGGTTGGAAGCCCTCAACATCACACAGAGCTGGTGGAAGCCTTAAACTTCACACAGTGTTGGTGGAGGCCCTCAACATCACGCAGTGTTGGTGGAAGCCCTAAACATCACACAGAGCTGGTGGATGCCCTCAACATCACACAGTGTTGATGGAAGCCCTCAACATCACACAGAGCTGGTGGAAGCCCTCAACATCACACAGAGCTGGTGGAAGCCCTCAACATCACACAGAGCTGGTGGAAGCCCTCAACATCACACAGAGCTGGTGGAAGCCCTCAACATCACACAGAGCCGGTGGATGCCCTCAACATCACACAGTGTTGGTGGAAGCCCTAAACATCACACAGAGCTGGTGGAAGCACTCAACATCACGCAGTGTTGGTGGATGCCTTCAACATCACACAGAGCTGGTGGATGCCCTCAACATCACACAGTGTTGGTGGAAGCCCTAAACATCACACAGAGCTGGTGGAAGCCCTCAACATCACACAGTGTTGGTGGAGGCCCTCAACATCACACAGTGTTGGTGGAAGCCCTCAACATCACACAGAGCTGGTGGAAGCCCTCAACATCACACAGAGCTGGTAGAAGCACTCAACATCACACAGAGCTGGTGGAAGCCCTCAACATCACACAGAGCTGGTGGATGCCCTCAACATCACACAGAGCTGGTGGAAGCCCTCAACATCACACAGTGTTGTTGGATGCCCTCAACATCAGACAGAGCTGGTGGAAGCCCTCAACATCACACAGAGCTGGTGGAAGCCCTCAACATCACACAGAGCTGGTGGATGCCCTCAACATCACACAGAGCTGGTGGAAGCCCTCAACATCACACAGAGCTGGTGGAAGCCCTCAACATCACACAGAGCTGGTGGAAGCCCTCAACATCACACAGAGCTGGTGGATGCCCTCAACATCACACAGAGCTGGTGGAAGCCCTCAACATCACAGTGTTGGTGGTTGCCCTCAACTTCACACAGAGCTGGTGGAAGCACTCAACATCACGCAGTGTTGGTGGATGCCTTCAACATCACACAGAGCTGGTGGAAGCCCTCATTATCACACAGAGCTGGTGGAAGCCCTCAACATCACACAGAGCTGGTGGATGCCCTCAACATCACACAGTGTTGATGGAAGCCCTCAACATCACACAGAGCTGGTGGAAGCCCTCAACATCACACAGAGCTGGTGGAAGCCCTCAACATCACACAGAGCTGGTGGAAGCCCTCAACATCACACAGAGCCGGTGGATGCCCTCAACTTCACACAGTGTTGGTGGAAGCCCTAAACATCACACAGAGCTGGTGGAAGCACTCAACATCTACCAGAGCTGGTTGGAAGCCCTCAACATCACACAGAGCTGGTGGAAGCCTTCAACTTCACACAGTGTTGGTGGAGGCCCTCAACATCACGCAGTGTTGGTGGAAGCCCTAAACATCACACAGAGCTGGTGGATGCCCTCAACATCACACAGTGTTGGTGGAAGCCCTAAACATCACACAGAGCTCGTGGAAGCCCTCAACATCACACAGTGTTGGTGGAGGCCCTCAACATCACACAGTGTTGGTGGAAGTCCTCAACATCACACAGAGCTGGTGGAAGCCCTCAACATCACACAGAGCTGGTGGAAGTCCTCAACATCACACAGTGTTGGTGGATGCCCTCAACATCAGACACAGCTGGTGGAAGCCCTCAACATCACACAGAGCTGGTGGAAGCCCTCAACATCACACAGAGCTGGTGGAAGCCCTTAACATCACACAGTGTTGGTGGAGGCCCTCAACATCACACAGAGCTGGTGGAAGCCCTCAACATCACACAGAGCTGGTGGAAGCCCTTAACATCACGCAGTGTTGGTGGAAGCCTTCAACTTCACACAGTGTTGGTGGAGGCCCTCAACATCACGCAGTGTTGGTGGAAGCCCTAAACATCACACAGAGCTGGTGGATGCCCTCAACATCACACAGTGTTGGTGGAAGCCCTAAACATCACACAGAGCTGGTGGAAGCCCTCAACATCACACAGTGTTGGTGGAGGCCCTCAACATCACACAGTGTTGGTGGAAGTCCTCAACATCACACAGAGCTGGTGGAAGCCCTCAACATCACACAGAGCTGGTGGAAGCCCTCAACATCACACAGAGCTGGTGGAAGCCCTCAACATCACACAGTGTTGGTGGATGCCCTCAACATCAGACACAGCTGGTGGAAGCCCTCAACATCACACAGAGCTGGTGGAAGCCCTTAACATCACACAGTGTTGGTGGAGGCCCTCAACATCACACAGAGCTGGTGGAAGCCCTCAACATCACACAGAGCTGGTGGAAGCCCTTAACATCACGCAGTGTTGGTGGATGCCTTCAACATCACACTGTGTTGGTGAATGCCCTAAACATCAAACAGTGTAGGTGGAAGCCCTCAACATTACACTGTGTTGGTGGAAGCACTCAACATCACACTGTGATGATGGAAGCCCTCAACATCACACAGTGTTGGTGGAAGCCCTAAACATCACACTGTGTTGGTGGATGCCCTAAACATCACACTGTGTTGGTGAATGCCCTCAACATCAAACAGTGTAGGTGGAAGCCCTCAACATTACACTGTGTTGGTGGAAGCACTCAACATCACACTGTGTTGGTGGAAGTCCTCAACATCACACAGAGCTGGTGGAAGCCCTCAACATCACACAGAGCTGGTGGAAGCCCTCAACATCACACAGAGCTGGTGGAAGCCCTCAACATCACACAGTGTTGGTGGATGCCCTCAACATCAGACACAGCTGGTGGAAGCCCTCAACATCACACAGAGCTGGTGGAAGCCCTAAACATCACACAGAGCTGGTGGAAGCCCTTAACATCACACAGTGTTGGTGGAGGCCCTCAACATCACACAGAGCTGGTGGAAGCCCTCAACATCACACAGAGCTGGTGGAAGCCCTTAACATCACGCAGTGTTGGTGGATGCCTTCAACATCACACTGTGTTGGTGAATGCCCTAAACATCAAACAGTGTAGGTGGAAGCCCTCAACATTACACTGTGTTGGTGGAAGCACTCAACATCACACTGTGTTGATGGAAGCCCTCAACATGACACAGTGTTGGTGGAAGCCCTAAACATCACACTGTGTTGGTGGATGCCCTAAACATCACACTGTGTTGGTGGAAGCCCTAAACATCACACAGTGTTGGTGGATGCCCTAAACATCACACTGTGTTGGTGGATGCCCTCAACATCACAATTTGTTGGTGGATGTAACGTGCCGGTCATGTGTGTCTCACCCTGGTTGTTATGGCAACGTGCAGGTCATGTGTGTCTCACCCTGGTTGTTATGGCAACGTGCAGGTCATGTGTGTCTCACCCTGGTTGTTATGGCAACATGCAGGTCATGTGTGTCTCACCCTGGTTGTTATGGCAACGTGCAGGTCATGTGTGTCTCACCCTGGTTGTTATGGCAACGTGCAAGTCATGTGTGTCTCACCCTGGTTGTTATGGCAACGTGCAAGTCATGTGTGTCTCACCCTGGTTGTTATGGCAACATGCCAGTCGTGTGTGTCTCACCTCTTGCTGTCATAGACTCCTCTACAAGTGAAAGCCTCAGGTCTTCAAACTCCACCCTCAACAGCTTGCACACTGCAACATCAACAACAACAGCACCATCAGCAGCAGCAACAGCACCATCAACAACAACATTAGCAACACCAACAACATCATCAGCAATATCACCAACAAATACCACTGGCGACAAGCATCAACTTTGACACAAGAACATGAAAACCCTTCCACCTCCCATCTCTCAGCATCTCAGGGTTGTCAAGCCCTGTGTCTGTCACATATGTGTATGATGATACTACTACTACTACTACTAATAATAATAATAGGCCATTTAATATTGTGCATATATCCACACCAGTCAGGGCATGCTCAAAGCGCTGTTATTACCCTGGTCACTGGATCAGCGTGCTATCAAGAATCATTCTCAGCTCACTGGGGAGTATACAACCCAAGGTGCCAGGTAGGCACTAGAAAGTTAAAAACCACATTACTATCTCATCCTACCAGGTACCCATTCACTGCTGGGTGAACAGAGGCACATTTTGAACAAAGTCACTTGCCCAAGGAGACGCCACATGTGTTACATGAAACTCTCAGGAGCCCAGCTTCCGAAACGCAGTCACCCATCCAAGTCCACCTGATTTGTGACGTGTGCGCTGTGCACAGGACCACTTGCTACCGCAAGGAAGGAACAGTCATTACTGTCAACACTAGGAACCAATATGTAAGGTGTATAATGCTGGATGACGCTCACCTTTCTGCAGTGTGTTGTAGTTGTCGACGTCGCAGGCCTGGTTCTCCAGGATGGACACAAAGCGGACATTTCCCAGATGCAAGATGGCCGCCAGAGTTGTGGTCAGCCCCATCAGGTCCTGGGTTGAAGGTCAGAGGGGTCAGAGGGGTCAGAGGGGTCAGAGGGGTCAGTATCAATATCACTACGACTACATGTTATATTGTGAGTGAGACATTTGTGTTACAGTCTTGCACAAATAATGACAAGGACTCTCAAAAATGTTTGAATATCTGCTAAATATCGTGTCACCCAAAAAGGAAGCTGTCAACCTCCTTTTGGTACTCCAGATTTGTCTACTTAGATTGTCTTCCGGACTCAGTATACAATCCCATTTGGTCCACAGATTCAACATGTAAGAACATATTTAAGTGTAGGTAAACATTTCCTTTATAGATGTGTTATATTTCCGATATTTCTTCAGTAATTAACTTTAAATCACATCTTTTTCTCAATGCTTTTCAGAATTGTGCTCAGAATTACATGATATTTGGGATTCAAGGGAAGGTGATGAGACTGAGAGGGGAAAGGTACCTGGTGTTCGTGATTCAGGAGAGGGCAGAGTTTGGCATCCTCAACCTGATGCAGAGGAAGCCATGAGGACTCACCTGATGAGATGCTAGACTGCTGCAAGCGAGTTAACACACGATGGACTGGCTGAAGCTGGTTACTGTGAGTTACAGCCGGCGACAGGCGGTTGACACGAGTTAGAGCTAGACTACAGAGAAGCAGACTGTGTGGGGGCAGAGTTAGCAAGAGAGGGTTAGGGTCTCACACCACCACAGATACACCTTGGTGACAGATAAGAGCATGTGACAAGGAGCCATTGAGTCCCCATTTGAGTGCCAAAACAAGGCCACATGGTTGTGCTGGCAGCATCCAAGTGTTCTTAGGACATAGGACACGGAGGAGTCATGACATAGGACACAGGGGGAGTCATGACATAGGACACAGGGGGAGTCATGACATAGGACACAGGGGGAGTCATGACATAGGACACAGGGGGAGTCATGACAAAGGACACGGGGGAGTCATGACATAGGACACAGGGGGAGTCATGACATAGGACACAGGGGGAGTTATGACATAGGACACAGGGGGAGTTATGACATAGGACACAGGGGGAGTCATGACATAGGACACAGGGGGAGTCATGACATAGGACACAGGGGGAGTCATGACATAGGACATGGGGGAGTCATGACATAGGACATGGGGGGAGTCATGACATAGGATACGGGGGGTGGGGGGGTGGCATAGGACACAGGGGGAGTCATGACATAGGACACAGGGGGAGTCATGACATAGGACACAGGGGGAGTCATGACATAGGACACGGGGGAGTCATGACATAGGACACAGGGGGAGTCATGACATAGGACACAGAGGAGTTATGGCATAGGACACAGGGGGAGTCATGACAAAGGACACAGGGGGAGTCATGACATAGGACACAGGGGGAGTCATGACATAGGACACAGGGGGAGTCATGACATAGGACACAGGGGGAGTCATGACATAGGACACAGGGGGAGCCATGACATAGGACACAGGGGGAGTCATGACATAGGACACAGGGGGAGTTATGACATAGGACATGGGGGGAGTCATGATATAGGACACAGGGGGAGTCATGATATAGGACACAGGGGGAGTCATGACATAGGATACGGGGGGAGTAGGACACAGGTCAGTCATGACATAGGACACAGGGGGAGTTATGACATAGGACACAGGGGGAGTCATGACATAGGACACAGGGGGAGTCATGACATAGGACACAGGGGGAGTCATGACATAGGATACGGGGGGAGTAGGACACAGGTCAGTCATGACAAAGGACACAGGGGGAGTCATGACATAGGACACAGGGGGAGTCATGACATAGGACACAGGGGGAGTCATGACATAGGACACAGGGGGAGTCATGACATAGGATACGGGGGGAGTAGGACACAGGTCAGTCATGACATAGGACACAGGGGGAGTTATGACATAGGACACAGGGGGAGTCATGACATAGGACACAGGGGGAGTCATGGCATAGGATACGGGGGGAGTAGGACACAGGTCAGTCATGACATAGGACACAGGGGGAGTCATGACATAGGACACAGGGGGAGTCATGACATAGGACACAGGGGGAGTCATGACATAGGACACAGGGGGAGTTATGACATAGGACACAGGGGGAGTCATGACATAGGACACAAGGGGAGTCATGACATAGGACATGGGGGGAGTCATGACAAAGGACACAGGGGGAGTCATGACATAGGACATGGGGGGAGTCATGACATAGGACATGGGGGGAGTCATGACATAGGATACGGGGGGGGGGTGACATAGGACACAGGGGGAGTCATGACATAGGACACAGGGGGAGTCATGACATAGGACACAGGGGGAGTCATGACATAGGATACGGGGGGAGTAGGACACAGGTCAGTCATGACATAGGACACAGGGGGAGTCATGACATAGGACACAGTGGGAGTCATGACATAGGATACAGGGGGAGTCATGACATAGGACACAGGGGGAGTTATGACATAGGACACAGGTCAGCCATGACATAGGATACGGGGGGAGTAGGACCGGGTCAGCCATGACACAGGAAACAGGTCAGCCATGACATAGGACACAGGGGGAGTCATGACATAGGACACAGGGGGAGTCATGACATAGGACACAGGGGGAGTTATGACATAGGACACAGGTCAGCCATGACATAGGATACGGGGGGAGTAGGACCGGGTCAGCCATGACACAGGAAACAGGTCAGCCATGACATAGGACACAGGGGGAGTCATGACATAGGACACAGGGAGAGTCATGACATAGGACACAGGTGGAGTCATGATATAGGATACGGGGGGAGTCATCACATAGGACACGGGGAGAGTCATGACACAGGATGCTCAGTGGTGTCCTTCAAGAAGGGAGACAACAGAGAAGTCAGAAATAGTTTCGAAGATCCCAAAATTTCCTTGGTGCAGTTGAAAAACAGTGTGGCAGCTAAACAATGGAAATAAGTGCTGTTACAAGTCAACATAGTTTGACTCATGGACTATAAATTAACCATTGTTCCAGAAAACTTGGTTATGACTGCCTCTCGTCTATGTCTGTCAGGTGCTTAGTTATGTCTGCCATTCGTGTATGTCTGTCAGGTGCTTGGTTATGTCTGCCACTCGTGTATACATCTGTCAGGTGCTTGGTTATGTCTGCCACTCGTCTATGTCTGCCAGGTGCTAGGTTATGTCTGCCTCTTGTCTATGTCTGTCAGCTGCTTGGTTATGTCCGCCACTCGTCTATGTCTGTCAGGTGCTTGGTTATGTCTGCCACTCGTCTATGTCTGCCAGGTGCTAGGTTATGTCTGCCTCTTGTCTATGTCTGTCAGCTGCTTGGTTATGTCCGCCACTCGTCTATGTCTGCCAGGTGCTTGGCTATATCTGACCCTCGTCTTATGTGCCAGGTGCTTGGTTATGTCTGCCACTCGTGTATACATCTGTCAGGTGCTTGGTTATGTCTGCCACTTGTCTATGTCTGTCAGGTGCTTTGTTATGTCTGCCAATCGTCTATACATCTGTCAGGTGCTTGGTTATGTCTGCCACTCATGTATACATCTGTCAGGTGCTTGGTTATGTCTGCCACTCGTCTATGTCTGTCAAGTGCTTGGTTATGTCCGCCACTCGTGTATACATCTGTCAGGTGCTTGGTTATGTCTGCCACTCGTGTATACATCTGTCAGGTGCTTGGTTATGTCTGCCACTCGTCTATGTCTGTCAAGTGCTTGGTTATGTCCGCCACTCGTGTATACATCTGTCAGGTGCTTGGTTATGTCTGCCACTCGTGTATACATCTGTCAGGTTCTTGGTTATGTCTGCCACTCGTCTATGTCTGTCAGGTGCTTGGTTATGTCTGCCACTTGTGTATACATCTGTCAAGTGCTTGGTTATGTCTGCCCCATGTATACATCTGTCACGTGCTTGGTTATGTCTGCCTCTTGTCTATGTCTGTCAGGTGCTTGGTTATGTCCGCCACTCGTGTATACATCTGTCAGGTGCTTGGTTATGTCTGCCACTTGTCTATTTCTGTCAGGTGCTTGGTTATGTCTGCCACTCGTCTATGTCTGTCAGGTGCTTGGTTATGTCTGCCTCTTGTCTATGTCTGTCAGGTGCTTGGTTATGTCTGCCTCTTGTCTATGTCTGTCAGGTGCTTGGTTATGTCTGCCACTCGTCTATGTCTGTCAGGTGCTTGGTTATGTCTGCCTCTTGTATACATCTGTCAGGTGCTTGGTTATGTCTGCCTCTTGTCTATGTCTGTCAGGTGCTTGGTTATGTCTGCCTCTTGTCTATGTCTGTCAAGTGCTTGGTTATGTCCGCCACTCGTCTATGTCTGTCAGGTGCTTGGTTATGTCTGCCACTCGTCTATGTCTGTCAGGTGCTTGGTTATGTCTGCCACTCTTGTATACATCTGTCAGGTGCTTGGTTATGTCTGCCAATCGTCTATGTCTGCCAGGTGCTTGGTTATGTCTGCCACTCGTCTATGTCTGTCAGGTGCTTGGTTATGTCTGCCACTGGTCTATGTCTGTCAGGTGCTTGGTTATGTCTGCCACTCGTCTATGTCTGCCAGGTGCTTGGTTATGTCTGCCACTCGTCTATGTCTGCCAGGTGCTTGGTTATGTCTGCCACTCGTGTATACATCTGTCAGGTGCTTGGTTATGTCTGCCAATTGTCTATGTCTGTCAGGTGCTTGGTTATGTCTGCCACTCGTGTATACATCTGTCAGGTGCTTTGTTATGTCTGCCAATCGTCTATGTCTGCCAGGTGCTTGGTTATGTCTGCCACTCGTGTATACATCTGTCAGGTGCTTGGTTATGTCTGCCAATCGTCTATGTCTGTCAGGTGCTTGGTTATGTCTGCCACTCGTGTATACATCTGTCAGGTGCTTGGTTATGTCTGCCACCCGTGTATACATCTGTCAGGTGCTTGGTTATGTCTGCCACTCGTCTATGTCTGCCAGGTGCTTGGTTATGTCTGCCTCTTGTCTATGTCTGTCAAGTGCTTGGTTATGTCCGCCACTCGTCTATGTCTGTCAGGTGCTTGGTTATGTCTGCCACTCGTGTATACATCTGCCAGGTGCTTGGTTATGTCTGCAACTCGTGTATGTCTGTCAGGTGCTTGGTTATGTCTGCCCCTTGTCTATGTCTGTCAGGTGCTTGGTTATGTCTGCCACTCGTCTATGTCTGTCAAGTGCTTGGTTATGTCTGCCACTCGTCTGTCTGTCAAGTGCTTGGTTATGTCTGTCTCGTGTATACATCTGCCAGGTGCTTGGTTATGTCTGCCTCTTGTATAAATCTGTCAAGTGCTTGGTTATGTCTGCCACTCGTCTATGTCTGTCAAGTGCTTGTGTGATCGCTACAATATCTAACCGCTGGTCACTTTTTGTTATCTGGTCAGTAAAGTTTTGAGTGAGCACAAGACTTGATCACCAGACAAAAGACACATCACTCTAATGTTAGTTGGTGTAGATTAGATTAGATTAGTTACACAGACAGTGTTGTGTTATGGGCGGTCTCACCTCACTGGCGAATCCCACATAGTGGAGGCAGTTCTTGACGTCCCAGAACTTCCGACAGTCCTCAGACACCAGCTTGTGCTGGACATCCCGGCCATCACTCTGAAGGTACCTGTAACCATAGCAACCACAGGCTGATACCTGCACACACACAGAGTAAGAATGTGAACACTTGACACAACCTACTTGTAACCGCAGCAACCACAGAGGTACCAAGTGTGACAGTGAAGTTAAGAAGCAGTCAGGAAATTATTTGCCACCTTCTCAGGTCCCAGGTCTATGGTGAACGTTCCCCAAACATAAGGACTCTAAAAAATCCAAATTAAATTACAAAGAACTTTGCTGTAAAATTCTCACTAAATCCTGGTAGTGACATGACTAATGTTTGATTTGGGACGAACCTGAAGTCATACTCCTTGTCAAACAGACACGAGTTAGCCTCCTCCGGAGTGATGCCCGACAACATCCAGTAGAAGATGTGAAAGTTCTTCTCTCCTCGACCCTGGTGAACAACACGTGACTTCTCCAGCAGGTACTGGGACATCTTAGCTGTAACACAACATCAGGTACTGGGACATCTTAGCTGTAACACAACATCTGGTACTGGGACACCTTAGCTGTAACACAACATCTGGTACTGGGACATCTTAGCTGTAACACAACATCAGGTACTGGGACATCTTAGCTATAACACAACATCAGGTACTGGGACACCTTAGTTGTAATACAACATCATGTACTGGGACATCTTAGCTGTAACACAACATCTGGTACTGGGACAGCTTAGCTGTAACACAACATCAGGTACTGGGACACCTTAGCTGTAACACAACATCTGGTACTGGGACATCTTAGCTGTAACACAACATCAGGTACTGGGACATCTTAGCTATAACACAACATCAGGTACTGGGACACCTTAGCTGTAACACAACATCTGGTACTGGGACACCTTAGCTGTAACACAACATCTGGTACTGGGACATCTTAGCTGTAACACATCAGGTACTGGGACATCTTAGCTGTAACACAACATCTGGTACTGGGACATCTTAGCTGTAACACAACATCTGGTACTGGGACATCTTAGCTGTAACACAACATCAGGTACTGGGACACCTTAGCTGTAACACAACATCTGGTACTGGGACACCTTAGCTGTAACACAACATCTGGTACTGGGACATCTTAGCTGTAACACATCAGGTACTGGGACATCTTAGCTGTAACACAACATCTGGTACTGGGACACCTTAGCTGTAACACAACATCTGGTACTGGGACATCTTAGCTGTAACACAACATCTGGTACTGGGACATCTTAGCTGTAACACATCAGGTACTGGGACACCTTAGCTGTAACACAACATTTGGTACTGGGACATCTTAGCTATAACACAACATCAGGTACTGGGACACCTTAGCTGTAACACAACATCTGGTACTGGGACACCTTAGCTGTAACACAACATCTGGTACTGGGACATCTTAGCTGTAACACATCAGGTACTGGGACATCTTAGCTGTAACACAACATCTGGTACTGGGACACCTTAGCTGTAACACAACATCTGGTACTGGGACATCTTAGCTGTAACACATCAGGTACTGGGACACCTTAGCTGTAACACAACATTTGGTACTGGGACATCTTAGTTGTAATACAACATCTGGTACTGGGACACCTTAGCTGTAACACAACATCTGGTACTGGGACATCTTAGCTGTAACACAACATCAGGTACTGGGACACCTTAGCTGTAACACAACATCTGGTACTGGGACACCTTAGCTGTAACACAACATCAGGTACTGGGACACCTTAGCTGTAACACAACTTCAGGTACTGGGACACCTTAGTTGTAACACAACATCTGGTACTGGGACACCTTAGTTGTAATACAACATCTGATACTGGGACAACTTAGCTGTAACACAACATCTGGTACTGGGACACCTTAGCTGTAACACAACATCAGGTACTGGGACACCTTAGTTGTAATACAACATCATGTACTGGGACACCTTAGCTGTAACACAACATCTGGTACTGGGACATCTTAGCTATAACACAACATCAGGTACTGGGACACCTTAGCTGTAACACAACATCTGGTACTGGGACACCTTAGCTGTAACACAACATCTGGTACTGGGACATCTTAGCTGTAACACATCAGGTACTGGGACATCTTAGCTATAACACAACATCTGGTACTGGGACACCTTAGTTGTAACACAACATCAGGTACTGGGACACCTTAGCTGTAACACAACATCTGGTACTGGGACACCTTAGCTGTAACACAACATCTGGTACTGGGACACCTTAGCTGTAACACAACATTTGGTACTGGGACATCTTAGTTGTAATACAACATCTGGTACTGGGACACCTTAGCTGTAACACAACATCTGGTACTGGGACATCTTAGCTGTAACACATCAGGTACTGGGACACCTTAGCTGTAACACAACATTTGGTACTGGGACATCTTAGTTGTAATACAACATCTGGTACTGGGACATCTTAGCTGTAACACATCAGGTACTGGGACATCTTAGCTGTAACACAACATCTGGTACTGGGACATCTTAGCTGTAACACAACATCAGGTACTGGGACATCTTAGCTGTAACACAACATCTGGTACTGGGACATCTTAGCTGTAACACAACATCAGGTACTGGGACATCTTAGCTGTAACACAACATCTGGTACTGGGACATCTTAGCTGTTACACAACATCAGGTACTGGGACACCTTAGTTGTAATACAACATCTGGTACTGGGACACCTTAGCTGTAACACAACATCAGGTACTGGGACACCTTAGCTGTAACACAACATCTGGTACTGGGACATCTTAGCTGTAATACAACATCAGGTACTGGGACACCTTAGCTGTAACACAACATTTGGTACTGGGACATCTTAGTTGTAATACAACATCTGGTACTGGGACATCTTAGCTGTAACACAACATCTGGTACTGGGACACCTTAGCTGTAACACAACATCTGGTACTGGGACATCTTAGCTGTAACACAACATTTGGTACTGGGACATCTTAGTTGTAATACAACATCTGGTACTGGGACATCTTAGCTGTAACACAACATCTGGTACTGGGACATCTTAGCTGTAACACATCAGGTACTGGGACATCTTAGCTGTAACACAACATCTGGTACTGGGACATCTTAGCTGTAACACAACATCAGGTACTGGGACACCTTAGCTGTAACACAACATCTGGTACTGGGACACCTTAGCTGTAACACAACATCAGGTACTGGGACACCTTAGCTGTAACACAACTTCAGGTACTGGGACACCTTAGTTGTAACACAACATCTGGTACTGGGACACCTTAGTTGTAATACAACATCTGATACTGGGACAACTTAGCTGTAACACAACATCTGGTACTGGGACACCTTAGCTGTAACACAACATCAGGTACTGGGACACCTTAGTTGTAATACAACATCATGTACTGGGACACCTTAGCTGTAACACAACATCTGGTACTGGGACACCTAAGTTGTAACACAACATCTGGTACTGGGACATGTTAGCTGTAACACAACATCATGTACTGGGACACCTTAGTTGTAATACAACATCATGTACTGGGACACCTTAGCTGTAACACAACATCTGGTACTGGGACACCTTAGTTGTAACAAACATCAGGTACTGGGACATCTTAGCTGTAATGGGACATCAGATACTTGACAGGGTTCCCACAAAATACCCGACCAATTCACAGTGACTACACCTGGGCCATGCTCCACAAAGCTCGTAGTGGCTAAGGTGATCGTAACTCCCATTATTTCATATAAACTTCCGATCACTTTGTGGAACAGGGCCCAGGAGAGTCAGGCTGCTGTCAGTTTGTGTTGGTATTCACTGACCTCCAAGAATGCCTCCCTCCACGGTGTAGCTGACCTCCAGACACTTGGCAAACCGGCTGGAGTTGTCGTTCATCACCGTCCGGGCGTTGCCAAACGCTTCCAGCAGAGGATTCACCTGTATTGATACTCACTGTCAGTACACATCAGAAGGGGTCACGTGTAACGAAACTCACTGTCAGTACGTATCAGAAGCGGTCACATGTATCGATACTCACTGTCAGTACGTATCAGAAGCGGTCACATGTATCGATACTCACTGTCAGTACGTATCAGAAGCGGTCACATGTATCGATACTCACTGTCAGTACGTATCAGAAGCGGTCACATGTATCGATACTCACTGTCAGTACGTATCAGAAGCGGTCACATGTATCGATACTCACTGTCAGTACGTATCAGAAGCGGTCACATGTATCGATACTCATTGTCAGTACGTATCAGAAGCGGTCACATGTATCGATACTCACTGTCAGTACGTATCAGAAGCGGTCACATGTATCGATACTCACTGTCAGTACGTATCAGAAGCGGTCACATGTATCGATACTCACTGTCAGTACGTATCAGAAGCGGTCACATGTATCGATACTCACTGTTAGTACGTATCAGAAGGGGTCATGTGTATCGATACTCACTGTCAGTACGTATCAGAAGGGGGTCACATGTATCGATACTCACTGTCAGTACATATCAGAAGAGGATTCACCTGTATCGATACTCACTGTCAGTACATATCAGAAGGGGTCACGTTTATCAATACTCACTGTCAGTACGTATCAGAAGGGGGTCACATGTATCGATACTCACTGTCAGTATGTATCAGAAGAGGATTCACGTTTATCAATACCCACTGTCAGTACGTATCAGAAGGGGGTCACATGTATTAATACTCACTGTCAGTACGTATCAGAAGGGGGTCACATGTATCGATACTCACTGTCAGTACGTATCAGAAGGGGTCACATGTATCGATACTCACTGTCAGTACGTATCAGAAGGGGTCACATGTATCGATACTCACTGTCAGTACATATCATGTCTGGTGTATCTTAGTGAATGGTCTATCCTCCTCGTCAGTCTGGTGTATCAAGGTATACCGGGTCTGTCTTGCTCGTCAGTCTGGTGTATCAAGGCGTACCTGATCTATCTTGCTCGTGAGTCTGGTGTATCAAGGCGTACCTGATCTATCTTGCTCGTGAGTCTGGTGTTTCAAGGCATACCTTATCTATCTTTCTCGTCAGTCTGGTGTATCAAGGTATACCGGGTCTGTCTTGCTCGTCAGTCTGGTGTATCAAGGCGTACCTGATCTATCCTTCTCGTGAGTCTGGTGTATCAAGGCGTACCTGATCTATCCTTCTCATCAGTCTGGTGTATACCGGGTCTGTCTAGCTCGTCAGTCTGGTGTGTCAAGGTATACCTGGTTTATTTTACTGCTCAGACCAGTTTCGGTACTTTCAGACACACGGAGGAGATGCTGGACGAGGAACTTGCATGACTCAGTCTTGCCCGACCCACTCTCTCCGCTGATCATGCAGCACTGGGATACCTGACTGGCCACCAGGTGGCGGTGTGCCTGCTCCGCGATGGCGTACACATGGGGGCTGAGAGACGCCAGGTGGGAGTAGTCGTGGTACTCTCTGCTGATCTGAGGAGGAGGAGAAAGTCATCAGGTCAAAGTCCGCACTTCATACACGTTACATTTGGTCATCTTAAGACGATTGTAGCTCCCATGTCATAGACTTGCAAGAGTTAGATAGTAGTACAGTGGTTCAGTGAAGCCGATATATACTTACAGACTTGGCGGCAGTTCAATGAAGTCAACATATATACTTACAGACTTGGCGTAGTACGGCAGTTCAGTGAAAGGGTTGACCGCCAGCAGGATGTCCCCAATGTATGTCTGAAACACAAGCAATCCCTCATACATACGCTGCTCTTTCTGCAGTATCTTCTGAGAACATTGACATATTGTTCAGGCTAGTTGTGGGCAGACTTACATAGATCAGCCGCTTGGCATAGCGTGCCTGTAGTGTCTCCACCATCGCCTTCTCTGTCAGGTCCGGGAACGTCGTGAGATCATCAGTGTCATGTGACTTGGGAAGATTGGCCTGGAAGGAAAATACAATCATCTACCCGGACCAGAACATGTCATCATCAGTATCTGTTGAAACAAAGCAATCTTAGCGACTGCCAACCTTCCACAAGGCTACCCGACCACCCCTAACCAACCTTCCACTACGCTACCCGACCGCCCCTAACCAACCTTCCACAAGGCTACCCAACCGCCCCTAACCAACCTTCCACAAGGCTACCCGACCGCAACTAACCAACCTTCCACAAGGCTACCCGACCCCCCTAACTAACCATTCACAAGGCTACCCGACCCCCCTAACTAACCATTCACAAGGCTACCCGACCGCAACTAACCAACCTTCCACAAGGCTACCCGACCGCAACCAACCAACCTTCCACAAGGCTACCCGACCGCCCCTAACCAACCTTCCACAAGGCTACCCAACCGCCCCTAACCAACCTTCCACAAGGCTACCCGACCGCAACTAACCAACCTTCCACAAGGCTACCCGACCGCCCCTAACTAACCTTCCACAAGGCTACCCGACCGCCCCTAACTAACCTTCCACAAGGCTACCCGACCGCAACTAACCAACCTTCCACAAGGCTACCTGACCGTCCCTAACCAACCTTCCACAAGGCTACCCGACCGCCCCTAACCAACCTTCCACAAGGCTACCCGACCGCCCCTAACCAACCTTCCACAAAGCTACCCGACCGCAACTAACCAACCTTCCACAAGGCTACCCAACCGCCCCTAACTAACCTTCCACAAGGCTATCCGACCGCCCCTAACCAACCTTCCACAAGGCTATCCGACCGCCCCTAACCAACCTTCCACAAGGCTACCCGACCGCAACTAACCAACCTTCCACAAGGCTACCCAACCGCCCCTAACCAACCTTCCACAAGGCTACCCGACCGCCCCTAACCAACCTTCCACAAGGCTATCCGACCGCCCATTACCAACCTTCCACTAGGCTACCCAACCGACCCTAACTAACCATCCACAAGGCTACCCGCCCGCCCCTAACTAACCTTCCACAAGGCTACCCGACCGCCCCTAACCAACCTTCCACAAGGCTACCCGACCGCCCCTAACCAACCTTTCACTAGGCTACCCGACCGCCCCTAACCAACCTTCCACTAGGCTACCCGACCGCCCCTAACCAACCTTCCACAAGGCTACCCGACCGCCCCTAACTAACCTTCCACAAGGCTACCCGACCGCCCCTCACCTTCCACTAGGCTACCCGACCGCTCCTAACTTACCTTCCACAAGGCTACCCGACCGCCCCTAACCAGCCTTCCACTAACCGACTATAGATAGTTGCCATGCCTTCTTATGAATTTAGAAACAAGGAATCTTGTTACTGTCTGTCAGTTGGAAAACTTCACCTCCTCAGAATCTGCAACTTTCCAGATTGCGGAGATGTAGGCCGTGTCGCTGCTGTCGTCATCCTCATCTTCGTCCATCCCATCATGCACTGCTGCCTGCTGCCCATACCGGATCTGTGACTCCAGCAGCTTGTCAGAGTGTGACAGATTCAGGTGTGCTGCATGCCTGAAGCAGACCCACAACAGACCAGTCACACATTGTACAGGTCACACATTGAAAAACAGATCAGTCACACGTGGTACATCAGACCAGTCACACATTGTACATCAGACCAGTCACACATTGTAAAACAGACCAATCACACATTGTAAATCAGACCAGTCACACATTGTACAGGTCATTCATTGTACAGGTCACACATTGTACAACAGACCAGTCACACATTGTACAGGTCACACATTGTAAAACAGATCAGTCACACGTGGTACATCAGACCAGTCACACATTGTACATCAGACCAGTCACACATTGTAAAACAGACCAATCACACATTGTAAATCAGACCAGTCACACATTGTACAGGTCATTCATTGTACAGGTCACACATTGTACAACAGACCAGTCACACATTTTCAACAGACCAGTCACACATTGTACAACAGACCATTCACTCATTGTACAGGTCACACATTGTACATCAGACCAGTCACACATTATACAGGTCACACATTGTACATCAGACCAGTCACTCATTGTACAGGTCACACATTGTACATCAGACCAGTCCCTCATTGTACAGGTCACACATTGTACATCAGACCAGTCACACATTATACAGGTCACACATTGTACATCAGACAAGTCACTCATTGTACATGTCACACATTGTACATCAGACCAGTCACACACTGTACAGGTCACGCATTGAACAACAGACCAGTCACACATTGTACAACAGACCAGTCACACATTATACAGGTCACACATTGTACATCAGACCAGTCACACATTGTACTGGTCACACATTGTACATAAGACCAGTCACACATTGTACAGGTCACACATTATACATCAGACCAGTCACACATTGTACAGGTCACACATTGTACTGTTCACACATTGTACAACAGACCAGTCACACATTGTACAGGTCACACATTGTACTGGTCACACATTGTACATCAGACCAGTCACACATTGTACAGGTCACACATTGTACAGGTCACACATTGTACATCAGACCAGTCACACATTGTACAGGTCACACATTGTACATTAGACCAGTCACACATTGTACAGGTCACACATTATACATCAGACCAGTCACACATTGTACAGGTCACACATTGTACTGGTCACACATTGTACATCAGACCAGTCACACATTGTACAGGTCACACATTGTACATTAGACCAGTCACACCTTGTAAAGGTCACACATTGTACTGTTCACACATTGTACAACAGACCAGTCACACATTGTACAGGTCACACATTATACATCAGACCAGTCACACATTGTACTGGTCACACATTGTACAACAGACCAGTCACACATTGTACAACAGTAGGTACTGACATGACACACAACTCCTTGGGATAGTGGTGTAGTTTCTGACAGCATGACTTACATTGACTTACTTGGTTTTACTGACATGTTTTAGTCTGAATTCCACGGTTTTACTGACAGTGTGGTGTATTCTGACTTACATGGTTTTACTGACGATGGTTTCATTAGCCTCTAATTCATCGTCAGAGTCCTGTGTAGTTGGGACGATGCTGCAACTAATGATGCGGCGCCGGGCTTCCAGGATGACCCGTTGTACCTCCTCTGTGCCGGCCACCTCCAGGGCCTTCCGCCTGTGCTGGTCAACACGCTCACTGTCTGCCCCGTGCTTCAGCAGGTGACGAACAATCTTTACCTGAAGACACAACAACCTTCAGCTGCAGACACAACATCCTTCAGCTGCAGACACAACAATCTTCACCTGCAGACAAAACAACCTTCACCTGCAGACACAACATCCTTCAGCTGCAGACACAACAATCTTCACCTGCAGACAAAACAATCTTCACCTGCAAACACAACAACCTTCACCTGCAGACACAACAATCTTCACCTGCAGACACAACAACCTTCACCTGCAGACACAACTTCCTTCACCTGCAAACACAACAATCTTCACCTGCAAACACAACAATCTTCAGCGGCAGACACAACATCCTTCACCTGCAGACACAACAACCTGCCGACACAACAATCTTCACCTGCAGACATAACAATCTTCACCTGCAAACACAACAATCTTCACCTGCAGACACAACAACCTTCACCTGCAGACAAAACAACCTTCACCTGCAGACACAACATCCTTCAGCTGCAGACACAACAATCTTCACCTGCAGACAAAACAATCTTCACCTGCAAACACAACAACCTTCACCTGCAGACACAACAATCTTCACCTGCAGACACAACAATCTTCACCTGCAGACACAACTTCCTTCACCTGCAAACACAACAATCTTCACCTGCAAACACAACAATCTTCAGCGGCAGACACAACATCCTTCACCTGCAGACACAACAACCTGCCGACACAACAATCTTCACGTGCAGACACAACAATCTTCACCTGCAAACACAACAATCTTCACCTGCAGACACAACAACCTTCACCTGCAGACACAACAATCTTCACCTGCAGACACAACAATCTTCACCGGCAGACACAACAACCTTCACCTGCAGACACAACAATCTTCACCTGCAGACACAACAATCTTCACCTGCAGACAAAACAACCTTCACCTGCAGACAAAACAACCTTCACCTGCAGACACAACAATCTTCACCGGCAGACACAACAACCTTCACCTGCAGACACAACAACATTAACCTGCAGACACAATGATCACAGGCAGATACAACAATCTTCACCTGCAGACACAACAACTTGCACCGGCAGACACAAGAATTATCACCTGCAGACACAAGAATCATCACCTGCAGACACAACTATCATCTCCTGCAGTCACAATAATCATCACCTGAAGACACAACTATCATCTCCTGCAGACACAACAACCTTCACCTGCAGACACAACTTCCTTCACCTACAGACACAACAATCTTCACCTGCAGACACAACAATCTTCACCTGAAGACATAACATCCTTCACCTACAGACACAACAACCTTCACCTGCAGACACAACAACCTTCACCTGCAGACATAACATCCTTCACCTACAGACACAACAATCTTCACCTGCAGACACAACAACCTTCACCTGCAGACACAACTTTCACCTGCAGACACAACAACCTTCACCTGCAGACACAACATCCTTCAGCTGCAGACACAACAATCTTCACCTGCAGACAAAACAATCTTCACCTGCAAACACAACAACCTTCACCTGCAGACACAACAATCTTCACCTGCAGACACAACAACCTTCACCTGCAGACACAACTTCCTTCACCTGCAAACACAACAATCTTCACCTGCAAACACAACAATCTTCAGCGGCAGACACAACATCCTTCACCTGCAGACACAACAACCTGCAGACACAACAATCTTCACCTGCAGACATAACAATCTTCACCTGCAGGCACAACAACCTTCACCTGCAGACACAACAATCTTCACCTGCAGACACAACAACCTTCACCTGCAGACACAACAACATTAACCTGCAGACACAATGATCACAGGCAGATACAACAATCTTCACCTTGCAGACACAACAACTTGCACCGGCAGACACAAGAATTATCACCTGCAGACACAAGAATCATCACCTGCAGACACAACTATCATCTCCTGCAGTCACAATAATCATCACCTGAAGACACAACTATCATCTCCTGCAGACACAACAACATTCACCTGCACACACAACAACCTTCACCTGCAGACACAACAATCTTCACCTGCAGACAAAACAACCTTCACCTGCAGACACAACAACCTTCACCTGCAGACACAACAACATTAACCTGCAGACACAATGATCACAGGCAGATACAACAATCTTCACCTTGCAGACACAACAACTTGCACCGGCAGACACAAGAATTATCACCTGCAGACACAACAACCTTCACCTGCAGACATAACAATCTTCACCTGCAGGCACAACAATCTTCACCTGCAGGCACAACAATCTTCACCTGCAGACACAACAACCTTCACCTGCAGACACAACAACATTAACCTGCAGACACAATGATCACAGGCAGATACAACAATCTTCACCTTGCAGACACAACAACTTGCACCGGCAGACACAAGAATTATCACCTGCAGACACAAGAATCATCACCTGCAGACACAACTATCATCTCCTGCAGTCACAATAATCATCACCTGAAGACACAACTATCATCTCCTGCAGACACAACAACATTCACCTGCACACACAACAACCTTCACCTGCAGACACAACAATCTTCACCTGCAGACATAACAATCTTCACCTGCAGACACAACAACCTTCACCTGCAGACACAACAATCATCACCTGCAGACACAACTATCATCTCCTGCAGACACAACTATCATCTCCTGCAGACACAACTATCATCTCCTGTAGACACAACAATCATCACCTGCAGACACAACTATCATCTCCTGCAGACACAACAACATTCACCTGCAGACACAACAACCTTCACCTGCAGACACAACAACATTAACCTGCAGACACAATGATCACAGGCAGATACAACAATCTTCACCTTGCAGACACAACAACTTGCACCGGCAGACACAAGAATTATCACCTGCAGACACAACAATCTTCACCTGCAGACATAACAATCTTCACCTGCAGACACAACAACCTTCACCTGCAGACACAACAATCTTCACCTGCAGACATAACATCCTTCACCTGAAGACATAACATCCTTCACCTACAGACACAACAACCTTCACCTGCAGACACAACAACCTTCACCTGCAGACATAACATCCTTCACCTACAGACACAACAATCTTCACCTGCAGACACAACAACCTTCACCTGCAGACACAACTTTCACCTGCAGACACAACCTTCACCGGCAGACACAACAACCTTCACCTACAGACACAACAATCTTCACCTGCAAACACAATCTTCAGCGGCAGACATAAAAATATTAACCTGCAGACACAACAATCTTCACCTGCAAACACAACAACCTGCCGACACAACAATCTTCACCTGCAGACAAAACAACCTTCACCTGCAGACACAATGATCACCGGCAGACACAACAATCATCACCTGCAGACACAACTATCATCTCCTGCAGACACAAGAATCATCACCTGCAGACACAACTATCATCTCCTGCAGACACAACAATCATCACCTGCAGACACAACTATCATCACCTGCAGACACAACTATCATCTCCTGCAGACACAATAATCATCACCTGCAGACACAACTATCATCTCCTGCAGACACAACTATCATCTCCTGCAGACACAACTATCATCTCCTGTAGACACAACAATCATCACCTGCAGACACAACTATCATCTCCTGCAGACACAACAATCATCACCTGCAGACACAACTATCATCTCCTGCAGACACAACTATCATCTCCTGCAGACACAATAATCATCGCCTGCAGACACAACTATCATCTCCTGCAGACACAAGAATCATCACCTGCAGACACAACTATCATCTCCTGCAGACACAACTATCCATCATTTTTTGGAGATTTGTTGGCATTTGTATAATTATGTTCCAGACACAGAAAGCCTTGGATTAGTGCCACTGTCCTTTTAGAGAAATTAAACATTCTAAAATTATTTCTGTCATTGTACATTAATTCCTGTTTATTTAAACATGTCAGTATCAATTTCATGGGCAACCTGGCTGTACTGAGTGTGATTTCATGATGGCCTTCCTGGCTGTACCTAGGGTGATTTCATGATAGCCTACCTGGCTGTACCTAGGGTGATTTCATGATAGCCTACCTGCCTGTACCTAGGGTGATTTCATGATAGCCTACCTGGCTGTACCTAGGGTGATTTCATGATAGCCTACCTGCCTTTACCTAGGGTGATTTCATGATGGCCTACCTGCCTGTACCTAGGGTGATTTCATGATAGCCTACCTGGTTGTACCTAGGATGATTTCATGATGGCCTACCTGCCTTTACCTAGGGTGATTTCATGATAGCCTACCTGCCTTTACCTAGGATGATTTCATGATGGCCTACCTGCCTTTACCTAGGGTGATTTCATGATAGCCTACCTGCCTGTACCTAGGATGATTTCATGATGGCCTACCTGCCTGTACCTAGGGTGATTTCAAAATGGCCTACCTGCCTGTACCTAGGGTGATTTCATGATGGCCTAACTGGCTGTACCTAGGGTGATTTCATGATAGCCTACTTGGTTGTACCTAGGATGATTTCATGATGGCCTACCTGGTTGTACCTAGGGTGATTTCATGATAGCCTACCTGGTTGTACCTAGGATGATTTCATGATGGCCTACCTGCCTTTACCTAGGGTGATTTCATGTTGGCTTACCTGCCTTTACCTAGGGTGATTTCATGTTGGCTTACCTGCCTTTACCTAGGGTGATTTCATGTTGGCTTACCTGCCTGTACCTAGGATGATTTCATGATGGCCTACCTGCCTGTACCTAGGGTGATTTCATGATAGCCTACGTGGTTGTACCTAGGATGATTTCATGATGGCTTACCTGCCTTTACCTAGGGTGATTTCATGTTGGCTAACCTGGTTGTACCTAGGATGATTTCATGATGCCCTACCTGCCTGTACCTAGGATGATTTCATGATGGCCTACCTGCCTGTACCTAGGGTGATTTCATGATAGCCTACCTGGTTGTACCTAGGATGATTTCATGATGCCCTACCTGCCTGTACCTAGGGTGATTTCATGATAGCCTACCTGGTTGTACCTAGGGTGATTTCATGATAGCCTACCTGGTTGTACCTAGGATGATTTCATGATGGCCTCCATGCCTTTACCTAGGGTGATTTCATGTTGGCTTACCTGGTTGTACCTAGGGTGATTTCATGATAGCCTACCTGGCTGTACCTAGGGTGATTTCATGATAGTCTACCTGGCTGTTCCTAGGGTGATTTCATGATAGCCTACCTGGTTGTACCTAGGATGATTTCATGATGGCCTCCATGCCTTTACCTAGGGTGATTTCATGTTGGCTTACCTGGTTGTACCTAGGGTGATTTCATGATAGCCTACCTGGCTGTACCTAGGGTGATTTCATGATAGTCTACCTGTCTGTTCCTAGGGGGATTTCATGATAGCCTACCTGGTTGTACCTAGGATGATTTCATGATAGCCTACCTGGTTGTACCTAGGATGATTTCATGATAGCCTACCTGGCTGTACCTAGGGTGATTTCATGATGGCCTACCTGGCTGTATTTTGCTGCAACATGTAGAGGAGTCCATCCAATGTCATCAACAGCATTCACATCAGCATTGTTGTTCAACAACAACTTTACAACATTCCGGTAGCCATTAGCACTGGCCATATGCAGCTGGAACATACAGAAATCATTATCTCACATACAGCTTGAACATGCAGAAATCATTATCTCACATACAGCTGGGACATACAGAAATCATTTTCTCACATACAGCTTGAACATACAGAAATCATTATCTCACATACAGCTTGAACATGCAGAAATAATTATCTCACATACAGCTTGGACATACAGAAATTGATATCTCACATACAGCTGGGACATACAGAAATCATTATGTCACATACAGCTGGAACATGCAGAAATCATTATCTCACATACAGCTGGGACATACAGAAATCAATATCTTACATACAGCTGGAACATGCAGAAATCATTATCTCACATACAGCTGGGACATACAGAAATCATTATCTCACATACAGCTTGGACATAAGAAATTGTTATCTCACATACAGCTGGAACATACAGAAATCATTATCTCACATACAGCTGGGACATACAGAAATCATTATCTCACATACAGCTTGAACATGCAGAAATCATTATCTCACATACAGCTTGGACATACAGAAATTGATATCTCACATACAGCTGGGACATACAGAAATCATTACTATCTCACATACAGCTGCAACATACAGAAATCATTATCTCACATACAGCTGGGACATAAGAAATCGTTATCTCACATACAGCTGGAACATGCAGAAATCATTATCTCACATACAGCTGGGACATACAAAGATCAATATCTCACCTACAGCAGGGACATACAGAAACCATTATCTCACATGCAGCTGAAACATACAGAAATCATTATCTCACATAACCTGGGACATACACAAATCCTTATCTCACATACACCTTGGACATACAGAAACCAATATCTCACATGCAGCTGGGACATACAGCAATCATTATCTCACATATAGCTTGGGCATACAGAAATCATTATCTCATATACAACTCGGACACACAACAATCCTTATCTCACATACACCTTGGACATACAGAAACCAATATCTTACATACAGCTGGGACATACATAAATCATTATCTCACTTGCAGCTGGAACATACTGAAATCATCAATATCTCCTATACAGCTAGGACATACAGAAACCAATATCCCACATAGAGCTGGGACATACAAAAATCATTATCTAACATACAGCAGGGGCATACAGAAACCATTATCTCACATACAGCTGGAACATACAGAAATCATCATTATCATACAGCTGGGACATACAAAAAACATCATTATCTCACATACAGCGAGGACATACAGAAATCATTATCTCACACAGCTGTGTATATTGATTAAGGATCGTACAGTCAGGTACTATGTGGCCTGTATCTATGGAAGTAAACCACACAGCTGTGTATATTGATTAAGGATCGTACATTCAGGTACTATGTGGCCTGTATATATGGAAGTAAACCACACAGCTGTGTATATTGATTAAGGATCGTACAATCAGGTACTACGTGGCCTGTATCTATGGAAGTAAACCACACAGCGGTGTATATTCATTAAGGATCGTACAGTCAGGTACTACGTGGCCTGTATCTATGGAAGTAAACCACACAGCTGTGTATATTCATTAAGGATCGTACAGTCAGGTACTACGTGGCCTGTATCTATGGAAGTAAACCACACAGCTGTGTATATTGATTAAGGATCGTACAGTCAGGTACTACGTGGCCTGTATGTATGGAAGTAAACCACACAGCTGTGTATATTGATTAAGGATCATACAGTCAGGTACTATGTGGCCTGTATATATGGAAGTAAACCACACAGCTGTGTATATTGATTAAGGATCGTACAATCAGGTACTACGTGGCCTGTATGTATGGAAGTAAACCACACAGCTGTGTATATTGATTAAGGATCGTACAGTCAGGTACTATGTGGCCTGTATATATGGAAGTAAACCACACAGCTGTGTATATTGATTAAGGATCGTACAATCAGGTACTACGTGGCCTGTATCTATGGAAGTAAACCACACAGCTGTGTATATTGATTAAGGATCGTACAGTCAGGTACTACATGGCCTGTATGTATGGAAGTAAACCACACAGCTGTGTATATTGATTAAGGATCGTACAATCAGGTACTACATGGCCTGTATATATGGAAGTGAACTACACAGCTATGAAAGTTTCCTGTTGGGAAGTAGGATTGGGAGATCTATGATAATCTACAAGTTTGTGTGAAGGCTTTGTGTGACTACCTCACAGTTAATCCACAAAGAGAGTGGAGGAAATAGAGGGGGATAAGACAATAAGCTCTACCTGTGTGAGCTAACATTATACTCTACCTGTATGAGGTGACAATACACTCTATCTGTGTCACAATACACTCTACCTGTGTGACAATAAGCTCTACCTGTGTGAGGTAACAATATACTCTACCTGTGTGAGGTGACAATACACTCTATCTGTGTGAGGTGACAATACACTCTACCTGTGTGAGGTGACAATACACTCTATCTGTGTGAGGTGACAATACACTCTACCTGTGTGGGGAAATAATATACTCTACCTGTGTGAGGTGACAATACACTCTATCTGTGTGAGGTGACAATACACTCTACCTGTGTGGGGAAATAATATACTCTACCTGTGTGAACAATACTCTTCCCTGTGTGAGGTGACAATACACTCAACCTCTGTGATAATACACTCTACCCATGTCACAGTACTCTCTACCTGTATGACAATACACTGTACCTGTGTGAAATTACTCAACCTGTGTGACAATACACTCTACCTGTGTGAGGAAATAATATACTCCACCTGTGTGACAATACACACTACCCTGTGTGAGGTGACAATACACTCAACCTCTGTGACAATACACTCTACCCATGTCACAGTACTCTCTACCTGTATGACAATACACTGTACCTTTGTGAAATTACACTCAACCTTGGTGTCAATACACTCTACCTGTGTGCCAATACACTCAACCCTGTGTGAGGTGACAATACACTCAACCTCTGTGACAATACACTCTAACTGTGTGACAATACACTCTACCCTGTGTGAGGTGACAATACACTCTACCTGTGTGAGGAAATAATACACTCTAACTGTGTGACAATACACTCTACCTGTGTGCCAATACACTCAACCCTGTGTGAGGTGACAATACACTCAACCTCTGTGACAATACACTCTAACTGTGTGACAATACACTCTACCTGTGTGCCAATACACTCAACCCTGTGTGAGGTGACAATACACTCAACCTCTGTGACAATACACTCTAACTGTGTGACAATACACTCTACTTGTGTGAGGTGACAATACACGCTACCTGTGGGAGATAACAATACACTCCACCGGTGTGACAATACACTCACTCTACTTGTGTGAGGTGACAATACACTCTACCTGTGTCAATACAATCTACCTGTGTGAGGTAACAATACACACTACCCTGTGTGAGGTGGCAATACACTCTACCTGCGACAAAACAATCTACCTGTGTGAGGTCACAATACACTCTACCCTGCGTAAGGTGAAATACACTCTACTTGTGTGAGGTGACAATACACACTACCTGTGACAATACACTCCACCTGTGTGAGGTGACAATACACTTTACCCTGTGTGACAAAACACTCTACCTGTGTGAGGTGACAATACACTCTACTTGTGTGACAATACACTCTACCTGTGTGAGGTGACAATACACTATACCTGTGTGAGGTAACAATACACACTAACCTGTGTGACAAAACACTCTACCTGTGTGACAATACACTCTACTTATGTGAGGTGACAATACACACTACCTGTGACAATATACTCTACCTGTGTGAGGTAAAAATACACTCTACCCTTTGTGAGATGACAATACACTCCACCTGTGTGAGATGACAATACACTCTACCTGTGGGAGGTAACAATACACTTTACCTGTGTGACAATACACTCTACCTGTGTGAGGTGACAATACACTCTACCTGTGTGACAATACACTCTACCTGAGTGACAAAATGCTCTACCTCTGTGAGGTAACAGTACTCTTCCCTGTGTGACAAAACGCTCTACCTGTGTGACAATACACTCCACCTGTGGGAGGTAACAATACACTTTACCTGTGTGACAATACACTCTACCTGTGTGAGGTGACAATACACTCTACCTGTGTGACAATACACTCTACCTGAGTGACAATACACTCTACCTGAGTGACAATACACGCTACCTGTGTGAGATAACAATACACTCTACCTGTGTGAAGTATCGATACCCTCTACCTGTGTGAAGTATCGATACCCTCTACCTTTGTGAAGTAACCATACACTCTACCTGTGTGAAGTATCGATACACTCTACCTGTGTGAAGTGACAATACACTCTATCTGTGTGACAATACACTCTACCTGTGTGACAATACACTCTACCCTAAGTCACAATACACTCTACCTGTGTGAGGTGACAATACATTCTACCCTGTGTGAGGTGACAATACATTCTACATGTGTGAGGTGACAATACAATCTACCTGTGTGAGGTGAAAATACGCTCTACCTGTGTAACAATACACTCTACCTGCGTGAGATGACAATACACTCTACCCTGTGTGAGATGACAATACACTCTACCTGTGTGAGGTGACAATACAGTCTACCTGTTTGAGGTGACAATACACTCTACTTGTGTGACAATACACGCTACCTGTGTCACAATACACTCTACCTGTGTGACAATACGCTCTACCCTGTGTGAGATGACAATACTCTCTTCCTGTGTGACAATACGCTCTACCTGAGTGACAATACACTCTACCTGAGTGACAATACGCTCTACCCTGTGTGAGATGACAATACACTCTAACTGTGTGACAATACTCTCTTCCTGTGTGACAATATGCTGTACCTGTGTGACAATACACTCTACCTGTGTGAAGTAACAATACACTCTACCTGTGTGAGTTGACAATACACTCTACCTGTGTGACAATACGCTGTACCTTTGTGACAATACACTCTACCTGTGTGAAGTAACAATACACTCTACCTGTGTGAGTTGACAATACACTCTACCTGTGTGAGGTGACAATACGCTCTACCCTGTGTCACAATACACTCTACCCTGTGTGAGGTGACAATACACTCTACCTGTGTGAGGTGACAATACTCTCTACCCTGTGTGAGGTGACAATACGTTCTACCCTGTGTGAGGTGAATATACTCTCTACCCTGTGTGAGGTGACAATACCCTCTACCCTGTGTGAGGTGAATAAACTCTCTACCCTGTGTGAGGTGACAATACACTCTACCTGTGTGAGGTGGCAATACTCTCTACCTGTGTGAAGTAACAATATACTCTACCTGTGTGAAGTAACAATACACTCTACCTGTGTGAAGTAACAATATACTCTACCTGTGTGAAGTAACAATACACTCTACCTGGGTGAAGTAACAATACACTCTACCTGTGTGAAGTAACAATACACTCTACCTGTGTGAGGTAACAATATACTCTACCTGTGTGAAGTAACAATATACTCTACCTGTGTGAAGTAACAATACACTCTACCTGTGTGAAGTAACAATATACTCTACCTGTGTGAAGTAACAATACACTCTACCTGTGTGAAGTAACAATACGCTCTACCTGTGTGAGGTAACAATACGCTCTACCTGTGTGAAGTATCGATACCCTCTACCTGTGTGAAGTAACAATACACTCTACCTGTGTGAGGTAACAATACACTCTTCCTGTGTGAGATGAGAATATACCTACTCTATCAGTATATCTACTATACTGACATATGCAAGGTAAACATACACTGTACCTGTGTGTCTCCAGCGCTGACATCTGTATGTTGAATGTAAACCAGGAAGGAACGAACACAAGGAATGAACTTATGCACCTGATTATATTGATCAACACACCCAAACACACATGAATTCACAGTCCTTTGTACATCCTAATTTCCTTGTAGTGATATAAATAGATGTACAGGAAAGTGTTGTCTGATATACAGATCAATCCAGGTATGTTTGTGAAGTGGGAGTCTGTCCATATATAGCTGTCTCTCCACCTACCCAAGTGATGCCTCCCTCCGCCACTGCGTTGATGTCGTGTCCAGCATCAAGACCCTCCTGGACAGCAGCATGCAGCACCTGGCATCTCTCCCTGCGCAGCGACACCTGCTGGCTGGGCTTCAGACCTGACACATTCAAGTGAGAGAGTAAATGTCAGCCCTTGTCCCGACCAATGACAGACACTGGATCTCTTTGGTCCCCATCCGCTGGCAGACACTGGACCTCCCTTGTACCCACCCCTGACAGACACTGGACCTCCCTTGTACCCACCCCTGACAGACACTGCACCTCCCTTTTACCCACCCCTGACAGACACTGGACCTCCCTTGTACCCACCCCTGACAGACACTGGACCTCCCTTGTCCCCACCCCTGACAGACACTGGACCTCCCTTGTACCCACCCCTGACAGACACTGGACCTCCCTTGTACCCAACCCTGACAGACACTGGACCTCCCTTGTCCCCACACCATGACAGACACTGGACCTCCCTTGTACCCACCCCTGACAGACACTGGATCTCCCTTGTACCCACCCCTGACAGACACTGGACCTCCCTTGTCCCCACCCCTGACAGACACTGGACCTCCCTTGTCCCCACCCCTGACAGACACTGGACCTCCCTTGTACCCACCCCTGACAGACACTGGACCTCCCTTGTACCCACCCCTGACAGACACTGGATCTCCCTTGTACCCACCCCTGATAGACACTGGATCTCCCTTGTCCCCACAACCTGAAAGACACTGGATCTCCCTTGTCCCCACACCCTGACAGACAATGGATCTCATTGGTCCCCACCCCCTGGCAGACACTGGACCTCCCTTGTCCCCACACCCTGACAGACATTGGATCTCCTTCGTCCCCACCCCCTGACAGACACAGGATCTCCCTTGTCCCTACACCCTGACAGACACTGGACCTCCCTTGTCCCCACACCTGACAGACAATGGATCTCATTGGTCCCCACACCCTGGCAGAGACTGGATCTCCTTGGTACCCACACCCGGACAGACATTGGATCTCCTTGGTCCCCACACCCTGGCAGACACTGGATCTCCCTTGTACCCACCCCTGACAGACACTGGATCTCCCTTGTCCCCACACCCTGACAGACAATGGATCTCCCTTGTCCCCACACCATGACAGACACTGGATCTCCCTTGTCCCCACACCCTGACAGACAATGGATCTCCTTGGTCCCCACCCCTGACAGACACTGGATCTCCCTTGTACCCACCCCTGACAGACACTGGACCTCCCTTCTCCCCACACCCTGACAGACACTGGACCTCCCTTGTCCCCACACCCTGACAGACACTGGATCTCCCTTGTGCCCACCCCTGACAGACACTGGACCTCCCTTGTCCCCATCCCTGACAGACACTGGATCTCCCTTGTACCCACCCCCGACAGACACTGGACCTCCCTTGTACCCACCCCGGACAGACACTGGACCTCCCTTTTACCCACCCCTGACAGACACTGGACCTCCCTTGTACCCACCCCGGACAGACACTGGACCTCCCTTGTCCCCACACCCTGAAAGACACTGGACCTCCCTTGTCCCCACCCCTGACAGACACTGGATCTCCCTTGTACCCACCCCTGACAGACTCTGGATCTCCCTTGTACCCACCCCTGACAGACACTGGACCTCCCTTGTACCCACCCCTGACAGACACTGGACCTCCCTTGTACCCACCCCTGACAGACACTGGACCTCCCTTGTACCCACCCCTGACAGACACTGGACCTCCCTTGTCCCCACACCCTGACAGACACTGGACCTCCCTTGTCCCCACCCCTTACAGACACTGGATCTCCCTTGTCCCCACCCCTGACAGACACTGGATCTCCCTTGTACCCACCCCTGACAGACACTGGATCTCCCTTGTACCCACCCCTGACAGACACTGGACCTCCCTTGTACCCACCCCTGACAGACACTGGATCTCCCTTGTCCCCACCCCTGACAGACACTGGACCTCCCTTGTCCCCTCACCCTGACAGACACTGGACCTCCCTTGTCCCCACACCTGACAGACACTGGAGCTCCCTTGTACCCACCCCTGACAGACACTGGATCTCCCTTGTCGCCACCCCTGACAGACACTGGATCTCCCTTGTCCCCACACCCTGGCAGAGACTGGATCTCCTTGGTACCCACACCCGGACAGACATTGGATCTCCTTGGTCCCCACCCCCTGACAGACAATGGATCTCCTTGGTCCCCACCACTGGCAGACACTTGATCTCCTTGGTCCCCACACTCTGACAGACACTGGATCTCCTTGGTCCCCACCCCCTGACAGACACTGGATCTCCCTTGTCCCCACCCCTGACAGACACTGGATCTCCCTTGTACCCACCCCTGACAGACACTGGATCTCCCTTGTACCCACCCCTGACAGACACTGGACCTCCCTTGTACCCACCCCTGACAGACACTGGATCTCCCTTGTCCCCACCCCTGACAGACACTGGACCTCCCTTGTCCCCTCACCCTGACAGACACTGGACCTCCCTTGTCCCCACACCTGACAGACACTGGACCTCCCTTGTCCCCACCCCTGACAGACACTGGATCTCCCTTGTCCCCACCCCTGACAGACACTGGATCTCCCTTGTCCCCACACCCTGGCAGAGACTGGATCTCCTTGGTACCCACACCCGCACAGACATTGGATCTCCTTGGTCCCCACCCCCTGACAGACAATGGATCTCCTTGGTCCCCACCACTGGCAGACAGTGAATCTCCTTGGTCCCCACACCCTGACAGACATTGGATCACCTTGGTCCCCACACCCTGACAGACATTGGATCACCTTGGTCCCCACCACTGGCAGACACTTGATCTCCTTGGTCCCCACAGCCTGGTAGAGACTGGATCTCATTGGTCCCCACACCCTGACAGAGACTGGATCTCCCTGGTCCCCACACCCTGACAGACACTGGATCTCCTTGGTCCCCACCCGCTGGCAGACACTGGATCTCCTTGGTCCCCACCCCCTGACATACACTGGATCTCCTTGGTCCCCACACTCTGACAGATAATGGATCTCCTTGGTCCCCCACCCCTGGCAGACAGTGGATCTCCTTGGTCCCCACACCCTGACAGACACTGGATCTCCTTGGTCCCCACCCCTGGCAGACACTGGATCTCCTTGGTCCCCACCCCCTGACATACACTGGATCTCCTTGGTCCCCACCCCTGGCAGACACTGGATCTCCTTGGTCCCCACCCCCTGACAGACAATGGATCTCCTTGGTCCCCAACCCCTGACAGACACTGGATCTCCTGGGTCCCTACACCCTGACAGAGAATGGATCTCCTTGGTCCCCACACCCTGACAGCAACTGGACCACCCTTGTCCCAACCCCCGACAGACACTGGACAGCCCTTGTCCCCAACCCCGACAGACACTGGACCACCCTTGTCACCACGACCGACAGACACTAGACCGCAACTTGTCCCCAACCCCGACAAACACTGGACCACCCTTGTCACCACACCCGACAGACACTGGACCACTTTTGTCCCCATCCCCTGACAGACACTGAACCACCCTTGTCCCCACCCCCGTTAGACACTGGACCTTCCTTGTCTCGACCCCCGACAGACACTGGACTGCCCTTGTCCCCACCCCCGTTAAGCACTGGACCGCCCTTGTAACCACCCCCAACAGACAGTGGACCGCTTTTGTCCCCATCCCCAACAGACAGTGGACCTCCCTTGTCCCCACCCCTGACAGACACTGGACCTCCCTTGTCCCCACCCATGACAGACACTGGACCTCCCTTGTCCCCACCCCCGTTAGACACTGGACCTTCCTTGTCTCGACACCCGACAGACACTGGACTGCCCTTGTCCCCACCCCCGACAGACACTGGACTGCCCTTGTCCCCACCCCCGTCAAGCACTGGACCGCCCTTGTAACCACCCCCGACAGACACTGGACCGCTTTTGTCCCCACCCCCAACAGACAGTGGACCTCCCTTGTCCCAACCCCTGACAGACACTGGACCGCCCTTGTAACCACCCCCGACAGACACTGGACCGCTTTTGTCCCCACCCCCAAAAGACACTGGACCGCCCTTGTCCCCACCCATGACAGACACTGGACCGCCCTTGTTCCCACACCCTGACAGACACTGGACCGCCCTTGTCCAGACCCCCGACAGACACTAGACCGCCCTTGTCCCCACCCCCGACAGACACTGGACCACCCTTGTCCCCACCCCTGACAGACACTGGACCACCCTTGTCTCAACCCCCTGACAGACACTGGACCTCCCTTGTCCCCATCCCCTGACAGACACTGGACCACCCTTGTCCCCACCCCCTGACAGACACTGGACCTCCCTTGTCCCCATCCCCTTACAGACACTGAACCTCCCTTGTCCCCATCCCCTTACAGACACTGGACCTCCCTTGTCCCCACCCCCTTACAGACACTGGACCTCCCTTGTCCCCATCCCCTTACAGACACTGGTCCTCCCTTGTCCCCATCCCTTACAGACACTGGACCTCCCTTGTCCCCATCCCCTTACAGACACTGGACCTCCCTTGTCCCCATCCCCTTACAGACACTGGACCTTCCTTGTCCCCACCCCCTGACCGACACTGTTTACTTGTCACATCATTTCACTCCCTCTGATCAGTGTTGTGATCTTGGATGTGTTTACTTAGCATTTACTTCACACACTGTGGAATTCAGAAAGTTAAGAAATTGTAATATTTGTTCAGTTCATAAAATATTTACTTAAAGCACATTCAACTGACAACAGGAATACATGACTAATTTGTTGATTTAAGGTTTCCAATTTTGTTATCCAATTTGAACCCTTCAAATTAGTTCGTTGCCGGTTAGAAGCTGTTTGTAATGTTCTGAACTAAGGGAGGTAACTCTGAAGATACAATTGACTGTAGAGAACATAAAATCCTCTCAATACCAGGTCGTGCTGGTGGGGACAAGCAATATCACAAACATCAACAGATGCAGAGATCAACTTTCAACAATCCTACATATCTGACTCAGCTCACAAACAACACAAACTTATTATTTCAGTGAACAGAAGGAGCAACATGTATGCCTGTGTTACATGGCTCTCCATGTTCCTA